ACTACTGAGGAGGTGGGAGCTGTTGTGCACGAGTATAAGAACTACCGTGCCACTGAACTCTAGTGCAAATGGAAGACTGTTGATGGGGTGGCCTGGGGGGGGGATTTCCTGGACAAAAAAGGGGACCAAGAACAATGACTGAGATGCATATTTCTTTCTTTTGCCATCTCACTGTTGCCAGGTTGTAGCCTAGTGTCGTGGTTTTCTGTATTTTTTCTAACACTATTCAGGGGGCTTGGGTGAAGAATTTTCAATATTTTTGCAGGTTTCAGATACATCATTTATCCAACTCTTGTATGGCTTTCCCTTCATTTTCCTTCCAGATGGCTTGCTGTTAAAAAAAAAAAAAAAAAAAAAAAAAAAAAAAAAAATCTTATATAGTTTGGTCTAGCTATATTCTTACTAAATGGCTGAACCATTTCATTATCTGTCTGTCAATATAATATAATCCAGACATGGTCTTACTCCGACTTTCTCTTTAACGCTGGTATTCGTGTCATTCTTCTTGTGTCGTTAGTGACCTTATAGAGACAGCACATTTCACAGGTAGTTATTTTCTATTCTAGTGTCCTACTCATTGTCACTGAAATTCATACAAAAGACAACAGCGCAGATACAGACAATTTGTTGCAAGCAAATCAAAGATGAAGCAAGGCTTCTCAGTTACAAAATGAGCTCATAACAATGGATCATCTAGACATTATATAACAATGGGTCATCTAGACATTATATAACAATGGGTCATGTAGACATTATATAACAATGGATCATCTAGACATTATATAACAATGGATCATCTAGACATTATATAACAATGGATCATCTAGACATTATATAACAATGGGTCATATAGACATTACATAACAATAAATCATCTAGACATTACATAACAATGGATCATATAGACATTACATAACAATGGGTCATCTAGACATTATATAACAATGGATCATCTAGACATTATATAACAATGGATCATCTAGACATTACATAACAATGGATCATCTAGACATTATATAACAATGGGTCATCTAGACATTACATAACAATAAATCATCTAGACATTTTATAACAATGGATCATCTAGACATTACATAACAATGGATCATCTAGACATTATATAACAATGGGTCATCTTGATCTAGACATTACATAACAATAAATCATCTAGACATTATATAACAATAAATCATCTAGACATTATATAACAATGGATCATCTAGACATTATATAACAATGGGTCATCTAGATATTATATAACAATGGGTCATCTAGACATTACATAACAATAAATCATCTAGACATTACATAACAATAAATCATCTAGACATTACATAACAATAAATCATCTAGACATTACATAACAATAAATCATCTAGACATTATATAACAATGGATCATCTAGACATTATATAACAATGGGTCATCTAGACATTACAAATGTCCACTGTTGATAATCATAAATACCCTCTCTCTCTCAGAGGGGAAGAGAGAAAGAGCATGTAACCTAGGAATCAAGATAAGATTTGTAGGTAATATTCACAGATGTGCGAGACAAAAAGCCACTAAAAAATTACTTACAATTAAAAATATCACCCAATAAAAAGCCACCAAAATATAGAAATCAGATACTTGGCTGACAATGAAATTCCACCCAACAAAAAAAAGCCATCCATGAATCAAGATCAGATACAGAGGTAACCAAACACAACATGCTGTGAGAGCCGCCCAAAGGAGGAAGACAAACAATGGCTGGTACTGACCTCCTCTTCCAGCTCCTGATAATCAAAATAAACTAGGTCAGCCAGGTCTCCACGCTCGGACAGCACCACCAGTAACTGTCGCAGACAGTCTTTTTTCCTGTGGATACAATCATAGCAATGAACACATTCACTGTAACCAGCCCACTCAGTCACTTTGCCATTTCTAATCTTTCTTTTTTTCCAGTCAACCAAATTTTCAGTTCCTTGCATACTGACCTTCGAGTTGAAACCAACAGGTTGTACTCTTCCATGGTTAAAATACCCATACTTAACTCTTTGAGCTCCAGGGGGTTTTGCATCATAGGCCCAGGAAGTATTAAAGAGAATCATAAAATTGGTGCATCATGCATTCATTGGGCTTCTAGGTAGGAACTTATGTACGTATGATGCGTTCGTTGGGACTCAAAGAGTTAAGCCAGGTCTTCACCATCTGTAAACTTTGCCCGTAACCCACATTATTAATGCTTCACCTATGAGAACCCCAACCACCCTACCATTCCCATCACCTATGATTTACCTATTACCTTGCTACCAACAATCTCCCATCATCTATGATTTACCTATTACCTTGCTACCAACAATCTCACATCATCTACGATTTACCTATTACCTTGCTACCAACAATCTCCCATCACCTATGATTTACCTATTACCTTGCTACCAACAATCTCCCATCATCTATGATTTACCTATTACCTTGCTACCAACAATCTCCCATTATCTATGATTTACCTATCACCTTGCTACCAACAATCTCCCATCATCTATGATTTAGATACTACCTAGCTACCAATAATCTCCCATCATCTATGATTTACCTACTACCTTGCCACCAACATTCTCCCATCATATTTGATTTACCTATTACCTTGCCACCAACATTCTCCCATCATATTTGATTTACCTATTACCTTGCTACCAACAATCTCCCATTATCTATGATTTACCTATTACCTTGCTACCAACAATCTCCCATTATCTATGATTTACCTATTACCTTGCTACCAACAATCTCCCATTATCTATGATTTACCTACTACCTTGCTACCAACAACCTCCCATCATCTATGATTTACCTATTCCCTTGCTACCAACATTGTCCCATCATCTATGATTTACCTATTACCTTGCTACCAACAATCTCCCATCAAATGTGATTTACCTACTACCTTGCTACCAACAATCTCCCATAACCTATCAGGTCAATACATTTACCCAGTTTCTGAAATGTACAAGGTGTCCTATATTGGTCCAGAGTTATTGCTGCGCTGATCTCATCTGGCACAAATTCATCTTTTCATTGAAGATTCCAAACATGCAATGCTACTGTAGACATCCTTTGTTACCTCCTTAATTGAGAGAAAGATAGGTAGAAAGAGGGAGGTAGGAAGGAAGACAGGGTGGTAGAGAGTGAGAGAGGCAGGGAGAGAGAGAGACAGGAAGGGACAGAGGATGGAAGGGAGAGAGTGCAGGAAGGAAGAGAGGGAGGCGCGTGAAACAGACAACTCACCTGTCTGGATCTGGGTTGTTCATCATGGCATCAAATGCTTGCTGGTTGTGGCCCAGCTCTAGATGATGTTTGAAGATTTTGGACTGCAAGGCCGGCTACAAGACAGAAATGAAACAAGGCAGTGAACTTATCTTCTGTTTTGTTATTATCTGCTCTGTGCCACTAGACACCAACAGTTTAACAGAGGATTGGCAGCCAAGCCAGGTCACCCTCGGCTGCTGGGATTACTGTGAAGTCTCAGGCTGACAGTGAAACCCCTGGATCCATCTTCTCCTAGAACAGTGGTTGTCAACGCTTTGCAGGTGGTGCCCTCTTTTATATATGGCACACTCCCCACCCCCAGAACACCTGTTTTGTTTTTAATATTTTTTTTAAATAATTAAACAAACAAAAAACCTAAAATATCAAGATTGCTTTACACCCCCCCCCCCCCCCCAATCATCCTTGTGTGTGCCGGAAGGGCGATGACCCCAGGTTACAAACCACTGCTTTAGTGCCCTAGAACTATGATCTGTTTCTAGTACAACATGTGCTTCTCACTGAAAGGACACACACAGTTGACACACCAGCCCAGTGTTGAAACCTGCCTTTGGTCAGGATTATGTTGTGACCATAACATTAACCTTCTCAAGAAACACATAAGAGGTCATTGTCTTGTAGCTAAAAGAGTTGGCTTGATATGGGACACATTACCCCTTGAATGCAGTCTGACTGACAAAACCGATTTTCTTCTATTTTCAGAAGTCAAAAGAATAATGACCTTAGCAATACAAACACTAAACAGCATTAAAAGTCTATGGTTAGGCACCATCAAAGAATTCAAAACTAAAATTTTAAAAGCATGCATCTTTCCTATAGCAACAAACTGATGTGTCGTGGATGACTGACTGACTGACCCCACCAGGACATCACACAAGCCATAAACACCCGATGACACAAAGTGCCACCATGTGGGTGAGGATCACCGTGGAGAGGTCCCAGAAACCGTGTTCAGCCTTTAGGCCATATTTATGGCCAGGCTATATTACGGCCCCTGGCAAAGCCAGAGTAGGGCTTCAAACAACCAAAAATTTCATCCTAAAAAGGACGGGAAGTGGTATCGTAGTACAGTGTTGTGGATTATCACACAGTCCTTAAGAAAGAAAATTTGGGCTTCTGAGCTGAAATGCTACACAAAGAATACCATGGACCAAGAACCATGGACCAAGAAAGAAATACTGACATCCTAAAAGATCTGAACATCAAGGGAAACTGGCTAGTTAGAAAAAACCATCTTGTCTCAGAAACTAAAATATTTTGGCCATATCAAGTGCCATTGCCGACTGAATAAAATAATAGTAGAACAAATGGTAGAGGAAAAGAGAGGCAGGGGCCGACCAGCACAAAGATGGGCACAGGATATTAGTGACATCTTGAGTAAGAAAATGCACGAGGTGGGAGAGCTGGCGAGAGTTTCTTTTAGGGAGACTCTGACAAGAGCGAGATTCTGCAAAAGACTCCTATATGACTGACTTCTATGTTCACCTTCAAAAGTGTGAGTGATTTACAGGTAGGCTGCAATACCTGCAACCTTCGTGCCCAACACATCCAATTTCGTCTCTTACGGCAAAAGAAGACCCAGAACCCACACAGGGAGATCCACAAAATATTACTGTGGCTGGTTTGTGTGACATTTTTACTGACAAAGGTTTAGAAGTTATAAACTTTTTTTTTAATTGTGCACTTACCAAATTTGGGTCATCTTTGTCAGCTTTGTTGATGGCTTCAGTTGCCATGGTGATGACCAGGTCAGGCAAGCCATGCTCCTCTAACTGCCTAATGACCTGCAAGAAAAAAAACATCCTAAACTGTAAATGATCTGAACTTTATGTTATCCAATCACAGACACATTACTGCACATTCACATGCATGATCAGTTCTATGTTCTGTTATCAAAGTCAACCTTACTGCACATTAAGCACTCTCAGTGTGCTCCGATACAGCAGGCAGTCTAAGGTACCTCCAATGACTGTTTCCCTTGAGGAGCTGCTTGGCTGTGTCCCCTAACCCAGCCTCGAAGGCAACACAAACAGGCTTTATCCTGCTTTACTCCAGTGTTCTGATGCAGCAGCTGGCGAATTTTAGCAAGTCTGATACCAGCCCACCCACAGAGCCTAGAAGAGAAGTGTGGCCACATTTCAAGAGCAGAGATTCAATGTTGTGGGACAACTCACACCAAAGACGTTTTTAGTTGGAAAGAGAGCAACAAGCTGATACAAGGATTGGTGGACAAATATGCATACAAACAGACACGGAGACAGCTGATTGAAGGATAGATGGACAAATGCAGGCATAAACAGGCAAAACAGACTGAATGTTTACAGGATAAGAGGAAACAGTAAGTAAACAATAACTGAAGCATAAAACAGAAAGTTGGAAAGATCAAGGAGAAAAGACAATAAGAAAAGAATGAGGAAGAGTGTAGCAAACAAATTCAAGCAAAAACAACAAAGTAAAAAAGAACCAGAAACCTTGAGGAAGTAGAGCGTCTGAAGTCTGTAGTGGTTGGTCTCCTCTGACTGTAAGAGTTTCTGTGACAAGAATGTTTCCGTGGCAACACCATCGCTGGCTTCAACAAATAATCTCACAGCTTTGTGCACCTCGCTGCAATTAAGAACAGAACAGAACATTCATTAATGAGAACAGAACAGAACATTCATAAATCATAAATGAGAACAGAACCAAACATTCATAAAAGAGAAAAGAACAGGGCATTCACAAATGATAAAAGAATGAGTCATTCATAAATGAGAACAGAACCAAACATTCATAAATGAGAATAGAACCAAATATTCATAATGAAAAAAGAACAAAGCATTCACAAATAAGAAAAGAACAAAGCATTCACAAATGAAAAAAGAACGGGTCATTCATAAATGAGAACAGAACCGAACATTCAGATATGACAACAGAACACAGCATGCATAAATGAAAACACAACAGATCATTCACAAATGAGAACAGAACAGTCAGTAGTCTTTCCTTTGCAGATCCCAAAACAACCTTCCGGAAAACTTCTCGATCACAAGCAAGATTTCCCGTGTCCAATACACCAATCTTAAGATCATCCGCCGCATCCTGCACCCATCTTCTCTTTAGCCTTCTTCTTTGTCTCTTTCCAGGCATATAGTAAAAAAGTAAAGCACGACCCCTCCATTATTGTTCTCTTCTAAACTTTTGTGACGTTTAAAGTGACCAAAATATTTCAATTTTCTGTGTTTTATTGTCTTTTATAGCCATACTTCTTCAATATTCAAATCTTGAAGTATGGATGCATTTGTTCTTTTCTTTACCCATGATATTCTTAGAACCCATCTATAACATTTGTATTTAAAGGCATTTATGCGCTGTTCAGCTTGTTTAGTAAGTGTCCAGGTCTCACAGGTGTATGTTGCAATCAGAAGGATGCATGCTCTTAGAAATCTTATTTTTGTAGTTCTGTTGGTCCCACTACAAAATTTATTCCGATGTTTTAATCTGTGAAGAGCAACTGATAGTCGTTCAATTTCTTTCATTGTGTCACCATTGTTGGCAATCAATGACCCAAGATATTCTACAACCTCCTATCTTTCCTCATTAACATATATTTCTTTCTCCGTGGTAGTTTTATGATGAGAACAGCATTCATAAATGAGAACAGAATGGAGCATATACAGATGAGAACAGAGGGTCTATTCTTTTTCTCCCTCACAAGGGCCTGTAGAACCCACACGGGCAGCTTTTATAACTGAGTGTTGGGATATTTCTACCAATCACTCACACATACATACAGAAGCAATCACAACCAGAACCGGCCTGAGACACCGACATTTACAAGATCATTTATTTACATACCATCCGATACACCTGCTGACACTCCAACAATGCTCTATGATGTCATTAATCTATCATAAACAATACAACAACAAAAATACATACTGGAAATGCAAGTAGGCGAGGCCGAGAAAGAAGGCACAAGATCCTTCGTTCCAGCTACACCAGGGAGTCAACAGCTGTACATACTCCTGCAGCCGCAGGTACTGGCAGGCCCGCACCAGGTACTCGGGGAATATTGTGTCGTCTGTCGCTGGCCAGCTGATATTGTCTGGTCAAGGTATTCTTACACAGAAGGGCAGGACATACACGTACATGACACAAGGAATGAGAAGTTATTGTATATGCCAGGGGGATCAGGAAGATTGAACCCTTTGACCCAGCAATGCTTATAAAAAATTGGTAAAAAGTAAAGTCGGGAGATGTGAATCAGCGTCATTGCACACGGTTAAAAACCATAAGTGCTCTGCCACCAGTATGGACAGCTGATAAGAAACTGTCTGCCGGTGTCGCCGTCCGCACTTAACTCTGTAGCTACAGCGACGTTCCTCTATTCACCCCAGAGTGTCAACTAAAGGCTGGGTGAACCCGGGAACCACCCGGTTTTAAACACCGACCATGGATGCAGCGAGTCGCAGCTGGGTTTGAAAGCGAGCCTCCTATCGACTGCGCTAACACAGCTAAAAAATTAGTTATCGCCAGTAGGAATTCTCAAAATAAAAATTCCTATAATAACATTTTTTTAAAAACATTTGACACAGGTCACAAATGTATTTGTTTATAAACATTTTTAAAAATGCCTTAGCTCCCCCAATTAATAAAGATATATTAAGAAAGTAATCAATAAACATAAACAGAGTGAAGCATGAAATGGAATACATTCCCTGGGGCCTTAAAATATATGTACTGGGTGACTCAGGCCATGACCTGGTGATCTCCATCACAAAGGCTTATAGGAAAATTTCACACCAAATTGGCAATTTTTTTTTTTAAACTGTTTTATTTTTAAGGAGACACCTCCCCCCTTCCCCCATAAATTCTTTTTTTAGTTAATATATTCACACCCTGACATTATAAACGTCTGCACAAGTGTAAACAGCCAAAAGCATTAACTACGCATTTTTGTAGAAAGGTCACATTAGACAAGTCAAAAAACTGACATTTACTAAACTGGCCCCAACCGGGTCAGGTGGTGGGTCACATGTGGGCGATACCTCACATGTGGTGGGTCACATAAGAAGCAACAAGGATACATTAACAGGCCTAGGCCCAAAATAAATTCAATGAGGTCGTCTCTCCACACGGCCGGACTCCCAGCACTGATAGACGCCAGCCGCTGTCTGATCTGCTCACCTCCGACACCTTCTAGAAACATCTGCGCCACGTAAGAAGTGTGGTAACCTGCAAATTGATGTACAATAAACCTGTGAGAGACTAGAGACTTACACTGATGTAATTATCATGCAAACATGCTGAACAGTCATAATACCATCAGCAGTGCAGTCAATTGCTTCGATTTGTTGCTAAGTAAATTTTCATTTACTGGTTTTGTGTCTGTACTTGGTAGGATAGTTGACACGCTGTCTTGTGGTTTTCAGCAAAGCTCTGATAATCTATTTTTGGCCCTGCCATTGCGATTTTAGCAAATTCTTCATTAGCCGAATTTTACAACATGCTTGGTAAGGATCAGTAGGTCTATTCTCGTCTCCACAAAAATGAGGCTCGGACCCACACAAGAAATTAGTACAGTCAGTTAACTAGTACAATGACGACGTAAATAGGGGGTGAATGCAGTCGAGCTGATTGCAAGAAACGTTAAATATAACACAAAATGTGTCTAGAAAACTCAACCGAGGGAATGGAAAAGATGCACACAAACACAACCGAACGTTTCGATAAAAGTCTTTATGAACAGGATACTAACTAGTCTGATGGGCTACAGCAGTGGCTCTCAACCTTCCTAATGCTGCAACCCTTTAATAGAGTTCTTCATGTTGTGGTGACCCCCACTAATAACATTATTTTTGTTGTTGCTTCAAAACTTCAGTGAATATGTGTTTTCCTACGTGAAAAGCTTGTTTGGCCCACAAAAAAGTCGAAACACATAGGTTGAGGACCGCTGATCCTTGTGAAAAGCTTTTTTCGGCCCACAAAAGGGTCAAAACACATAGATTGAGGACCGCTGATCCTTGTGAAAAGCTTGTTCGGCCCACAAAAGGGTCGAAACACATAGATTGAGGACCGCTGATCCTTGTGAAAAGCTTTTTCGGCCCACAAAAGGGTCGAAACACATAGGTTGAGGACCGCTGGGGTACAGACTATTACCTATTACAAGAAAATTAATGTCATGTTGATATTAGTCACAGAATTTATACAGTTCAATTCTGGCAATTAGATTACATGATTACAGTAGTTAAATATCTCTATAATGCAACTGGTATCTCAACATCATGGCAATTAAAATACTAAGTCGTGATATTTAGATGTCTCTATCATCATCATCATCAAGTGCTTTGCCAGCCGGCGTAGGCATACATGCATCTCCAGAGATCTCAGTCTTTGATGTTCCGGATCAATTCCACTGATGATATTTCTCCATGTCACTGTCTTAAGTCATCTACCATCATTTCTCTTGATCTGCCTCTGCTACCAGATGATCTTTCCATTCATCACAATATTTTCCAGTGCTCCTTTTCCCATCATTTCACCAAAAAACTTTGTCTCCTCTCATTGTTGTATTTAATGTTCTACTTTCATTAGCCATTTCCAGGCGATCAATGTTAGTTATTCTGACAGTCAAAGGTATTCGTAACATTCTTCTCAACAGCCACATCTCAGTTGCCTCCAAACTCTTCATTGTTTGTTCACATTCCACTGTTCAATCAGAGCATTTAAAAATCCCAGTATGATATGTAGATGCTTCACTATATTTAGACATCTAAATGCAAACACAAACAGAAACGAAATCTCAGCTACAAACGGCGGGCAAGGACACAAACAACACAAAATATGTGAGGACTTACTCGGCCGAGCTGTTGTACGAGCTGAAACGTCAGTAATCTCCAAGGTACTCAGCTGCCGCAAATTCTGATCACTGTTTAGAAACAAGATTCCAGGTGTTTCACTTCCATCAGTTACAGATATGTGTAAAAGTGATAAACAGCTTTGTACAAATGTAAATTGATGGGCCACCACAGACAATGAGTAGATCCATAAACAGCATTGTACAAGTGTACAGGAGGGTGGTCACATACAATAAGTAGATCCATAAACATCATCATACAAGCCTAAAGTGATGGGCCGTCACAAATGAGTAGCCTTGTACAAACGTGAAGAGATGGGCTGTCACATTCAACGAGTAGTCCATCAACACAGAAAAAGGAACTAGACAGCTCCAAAATGTAACTAGACAACTCCAAAGTGGAACTAGACAGCTCTAAAGTGGAACTAGACAGCTCTAAAGTGGAACTAGACAGCTCTAAAGTGGAACTAGACAGCTCTAAAGTGGAACTAGACAGCTCTAAAGTGGAACTAGACAACTCCAAAGTGGAACTAGACAGCTCTAAAGTGGAACTAGACAGCTCTAAAGTGGAACTAGACAGCTCTAAAGTGGGACTAGACAGCTCTTAAGTGGAACTTGACAACTCTAAAGTGGGACTTGACAGCTCTAAAGTGGAACTAGACAGCTCTAAAGTGGAACTAGACTGCTCTAAAGTGGAACTAGACTGCTCTAAAGTGGAACTAGACTGCTCTAAAGTGGAACTAGACAACTCTAAAGATGAACTTGACAGCTCTAAAGTGGAACTGGTCAGTTTTAGAAAAGCACAATCAACAAAGATGTCTTTAGAGATTTATTATTGGTTTATCCAGAGACAAAATCTGTCCGTGAAGACATAATATTGGTTTAGTTAATATCTGTATGTGAAGATACAGAACTGGTATCAGCAGACAATACCTGTCTGTGAAGATACAGTATTGGTTTATCCGGAGATTGATAAGACTGAGTGGTAATACAGTATTTGTCTGTGGAGATACTTAGTCTTTTTGTTCGTCCGAGTGACGTAGATGTGCTGTGCCTGTTTACAGCAGAGCTTCAATATCCGGCTTCTTTGAGCATTTGCTGGCTGATTTACCTTCCCGGACAGCTTCGTGAGACAGGGACATGTTGTGGTCTTATTTTTTGTGGTATTCTCTTTGTACCCTTACCTACAGATGTTGCCCCTGGAGACCCTGTCCAGGGCATCTGCGTGTTGACAGGTCGGACCTCAAGGGAAGGCAGGGGCACCTCAAGGGCATTACCTGCCATCCAAGGAGGCTTCCATGGATGCCAAGCTGACACATAACGCTCTGGTCCTCGGCTCACCCAAGGAATCATCACGTCTTGCACATGACTGCTGAATCTCACATCCGTACGTTCAGCTTTCCACCTGTCACAGGCTGCGACTTCTGGAGATCTGCAGTGAGCAGCCTGCAGTTCCAGGAATTCAATGACACACAAACAGGCACCTTTTTTTTTTTCTTTCTTTTTATTTCTGCACGTTGGTCACCTTTAACATTGTTTCATCTGGAAATTTAGCAGTACGGCAAAAGCATGCATCCATCATGGCTCCCCCATTCTAGGTTCCAAACTCTGGCGAGTGGGGCCAATGGTAACCGGCATGTGAACCTTTCTGTCAATTAGAAGGATTTTTATGGTCAATAAACAAATAGGTCTGTCTGTGGAGATACAATAAACAAAGAGGTCTGTCTGTGGAGATATAATAAACAAAGAGGTCTGTCTGTGGAGATACAATAAACAAAGAGGTCTGTCTGTGGAGATATATTAAACAAAGAAGTCTGTGGAGACCCAATGTCTGTCTATGTCCAGGACTTACAGCACACTGTTGGGGCTAGCAGTGGTCAGGGCTTGGGATGCCCACACTAGAACCTTGTAACATCTCAGCAAGTCCACGCCCTTGGGCAGCAGGTCATTCATGATGGTGTCCTTGACACTCTGGGCCAGGCCTGCCTGTAACAGTCACACAAACATCAGTTACTCATAGTCACACAAACATCAGTTACTCACAGTCACACAAACATCAGCTACTCACAGTCACCAGACATCAGTTACTCACAGTCACCAGACATCAGTTACTCACAGTCACACAAACATCAGCTACTCAGTCACACAAATATCAGCTACTCAGACACACAAACATCAGCTACTCAGACACACAAATATCAGCTACTCACAGTCACACAAACATCAATTACTCACAGTCACACAAACATCAGTTACTCACAGTCACACAAACATCAGTTACTCACAGTCACACAAACATCAGTTACTCACAGTCACACAAACATCAGTTACTCACAGTCACACAAACATCAGTTACTCAGTCACACAAACATCAGTTACTCACAGTCACACAAACATCAGCTACTCAGTCACACAAACATCAGTTACTCAGTCACACAAACATCAGTTACTCAGTCACACAAACATCAGCTACTCAGTCACACAAACATTAGTTACTCACAGTCACACAAACATCAGTTACTCACAGACACACAAACATCAGTTACTTACAGTCACACAAACATCAGCTACTCAGTCACACAAACATTAGTTACTCACAGTCACACAAACATCAGTTACTCACAGTCACACAAACATCAGCTACTCAGTCACACAAACATCAGTTACTCACAGTCACACAAACATCAGTTACTCACAGTCACACAAACATCAGTTACTCACAGTCACACAAACATCAGTTACTCACGGTCACACAAATATCAGCTACTCAGACACACAAACATCAGCTACTCAGTCACACAAACATCAGCTACTCATACACACAAATATCAGCTACTCAGACACACAAATATCAGCTACTCAGACACACAAATATCAGCTACTCAGTCACACAAACATCAATTACTCATCGTCACACAAACATCAGCTACTCAGACACACAAATATCAGCTACTCAGTCACACAAACATCAATTACTCACAGTCACACAAACATCAATTACTCACAGTCACACAAACATCAATTACTCACAGTCACACAAACATCAATTACTCACAGTCACACAAACATCAATTACTCACAGTCACACAAACATCAGTTCCTCACAGTCACACAAACATCAGCTACTCAGTCACACAAACATCAGCTACTCAGTCACACAAACATCAGCTACACAGTCACACAAACATCAGTTACTCAGTCACACAAACATGTTACTCAGTCACACAAACATCAGTTACTCACAGTCACACAAACATCAGCTACTCAGTCACACAAACATCAGTTACTCACAGTCACACAAACATCAGTTCCTCACAGTCACACAAACATCAGCTACTCAGTCACACAAATATCAGCTACTCACAGTCACACAAACATCAGTTCCTCACAGTCACACAAACATCAGCTACTCAGTCACACAAACATTAGTTACTCACAGTCACACAAACATCAGCTACTCAGTCACACAAACATCAGTTACTCAGTCACACAAACATCAGTTACTCAGTCACACAAACATCAGTTACTCACAGTCACACAAACATCAGCTACTCACAGTCACACAAACATCAGTTACTCACAGTCACACAAACATCAGCTACTCACAGTCACCAGACATCAGTTACTCACAGTCACCAGACATCAGTTACTCACAGTCACACAAACATCAGCTACTCAGTCACACAAACATCAGTTACTCACAGTCACACAAACATCAGCTACTCAGTCACACAAACATCAGTTACTCACAGTCACACAAACATCAGTTACTCACAGTCACACAAACATCAGTTACTCACAGTCACACAAACATCAGTTACTCACAGTCACACAAACATCAGCTACTCACAGTCACACAAACATCAGTTACTCACAGTCACACAAACATCAGTTACTCACAGTCACACAAACATCAGTTACTCAGTCACACAAACATCAGCTACTCAGTCACACAAACATCAGTTACTCAGTCACACAAACATCAGTTACTCACAGTCACACAAACATCAGCTACTCAGTCACACAAACATCAGTTACTCAGTCACACAAACATCAGTTACTCACAGTCACACAAACATCAGCTACTCACAGTCACACAAACATCAGCTACTCAGTCACACAAACATCAGTTACTCACAGTCACACAAACATCAGCTACTCAGTCACACAAATATCAGCTACTCACAGTCACACAAACATCAGTTACTTACAGTCACCAGACATCAGTTACTCAAAGTTCCGCTACATTCACAAAAATACAAGAGAGAACATTATGTGTTAACATACTAATATCAATTTCCAGGTTTATGAATAAGAATTACCACATGTAAACTATATGCAAGCCTATCAAACGAGGCAGAAAACCTGTTCAATGACAAGATAATTAAAGAAGTACTACAGACAACACAAGCTGGGACTAGAAAGTTCAAAGAAAACAATGAAAGAAACACACTCAACCAAAGCTTTTATCAATAGAGTTTTAAATTCAATACAAACTACTGAATAAGACGACACAGTTTGTTACCAGCCACGGTCAGCAAGGAGACTCAAACTGGGGTCAGGGAGGATTGTTTTTAAGGAAGAATAGGCTGTATCACAGGAAACAAAAATGAATCAAACAAAAGAATCAAATACAGAGTTTCCATAAAGACAGGAATGAGCTTACGAAAGAAATACAAATAAATTAAGTGGAATACTTTAATTCTTCTACTTCCTCTTTTACCGCTCCAGATGAGGGAGATTTAAAGTTTTGTTTCTTGCTCTTCAGGCCGCCATGATCATAGAGACATCGTCATGATTAAATAATGTCTAATCAGTCCTTTTAAATCTCGGTAAAATCTTTGTAGCGATTAATAAATCCACTACCAGCTTGCCAGGCCTGTCAAAACTTCCCTACCTATGGGCAGGACATGCCTGGGTGACCTAGTCTGGTCTTCATGGCTACCGTTTCAGCCCAGTGGCACAAGGCACACAACAGACTTGGCTCAATCCTAGTAATCCCCGACACAACACTGACGTGGCAGCTGTGATACATTTCTGCCACACCAAAAGACACAGCACTCTGATAAACATATTAGATACTCTGGAAAAATATCAATCATTCTTCTTCTCTAGTACTGTCCTCCCTTTCAGCTTCAGGTTTTGAAGAGGCATCGGGTGTGTGCCCTGCTATGTGCTACATAGATGCCAGTATCTACGGTCTCAGATATTTATATCAATCATATTAACCTATATGTCAAATTAACAACAGATGCGCACACATACCCTTTCCTTGAGACTGGAGACAACCACCAGAAAGACGGTCAGATCCCTGACAAAATCAAACCTGAGACTGACCAGTTGTTGAAAGGATTGGGTCAGGATGGACATGGCCAAAGTCCCAGTGAACAGATTGCTGTAATGTTGGTGTCCAGCTGTATCGGGAGAAAAAACACATACAATTTTTTTTAAATAATTTATTTCTCGTATATTTTATCTGACGATGAAACATGTGGCCTCCACCAACTCACAATACGTCCTTTGTAGGCTTAACCTTTTCACCTTGTAAAGCACCAAATTAGGTATTTATGTTTGAAAAATCACGGTAAAAGTCAGGAACAAGGCATATCTGTAGTGACTTCACTCTGATTAACCTGGGTAATGTTACTAGCTGTGTTAGCACCTGCACAGCATTTTTGGAGGTAAAGACATTTATTTGGTTACTGAAAATAGTATTTACAGTGGTTTTCTTGTAAACCAAAATGGCTTTTTATTTTGACGTCTCAATTTGTCTGTTGCATTTAGTGTAAACAGGTCACGAGGTCAGGGAATGATTCGCGCGATATATTTTTTTGGGGGTCACAGGGAATGTATTCCATTTAACGCCTGACTCCGTTAAAGTTTACTGATTATTTCCTTTATACAGTCTGAAACTATATACACACACACACACATATATATATATGTGTGTGTGTGTGTGTGTGTGCAAGCATGCACATACACACATGTAGATACATTTTTTTTATGTATTAGATGCCTGCGTAAAATGCCTGAGGTTATTTTTGTTTTGTTTACTAGATTACCCTAGAGTTATTGACTTTTTCTTTAATAGCGTTCACTGGGCAAAAGTGTTAACAATTTGTTTTAGTTTTGCAGCAGACATTTTCTATGAGATGCAGTATACAGTTCGACACCAGTCCCCCTATGATACAGCACATACACACACATGATAGGGCACAATGTCACTATCCTTTGCTTGTGGACCCCACAACATGAAAAGAACCTGAAAGCTGCAAATGTGTATGTGGTGTTAACCAATATATTCATAGTTCTAAAAGTTGGGCAGAAAAGAGAGATTTTTAAAGGACATTAGAGACCATTTTATTAAAGTTTTCTCAAGGAGCAGCTGGTCAGGTGACTACGGTACTTGGATCTCTCTTCCCCCCCCCCCCCCCCCCCCCCCCCCCCCCCCCCCCCCCCCCCCCCGAGTCTGGCAGTGATTATCTTGTTTAGCCTTTCCTCTTCTACTTTAGAGTATGGCATTACCCTTCAATCTCGTTCAGTTCAACAGTAATCAAAGTGAGTTTATCGGAGAGGTATATGCCTCACTCTTACCTGCCTCCTCCATCTGGTCTGCAGCCACATCTCGGAACTCAAGCATGTTGAAGATTGCCTCCATGGTAGACACAAGACTGGTCATCTGGCGAGCCTTTCTGATCAGTGTGTCTGTTGCCTCCTGGTCAGTTCTGGAAGTGTACAGCACATCATCCACTTTAATGTTTACCTTCGTCATTACTATAAGAACTGGCATTTGAGCCACCATCATTATCTGAACAGGCACACAGTAAGAACACAGTAAAACATGACAGCAGATAAGTAATTAGAGGACAGAACGGAAGAACAAACTTTATTTTCAAAGGGTCACATTCCACCCTTCCAGAATACTCACCTTTTAGACCAGAACTGCATGTTATAGTTATATAAAAATATACACAATGGTTATCAAGTTGAAAAATATAACACACAAATGTGTGGATGGTAAATGCATGCATTCAAATATACCCATACATACATACATACATGTGCGCATGCGCACACATACATACACACACACATACTTAAGACAGACATACACACACATGAAAGTATATAGGAAGGAAGTTGGTGACAAGGAAGTAAAGATGGACAGAAAGAAAATGGCTCAAAGAGAATTATGATAGAGGTAGACAGCAAAAGAAAAAAAGGAACAGATAAGAGGGAAAAAAATGAAGGAAGAAACCAAAAGTATGAAGGAAAGACAGCAAGAGAAAGAAAAAAGCAGGAGAGATAGAATGAAAGCACCAGAGAAAATATGCACACCTAATCATGTCTTGTAACTTCTCCACCAGGTATTCAGGAGGATGCAGGCTCTGTAGACAGCTCAGGAACATACAGGCAGCGTCTGGAGGGATGCGGGAGTTGACGAACTGCACAGCATCACACAGCAGGCGGACATCGTCTGCAAACTTCTTCCTGTTTTAGTTTACTTCTTCTTACGCAGTCACTCTTAAAAGGTGGTTGGCACACTGTGCTGTGGTTTACAACAAGGTTGTGATATCTGCATTTTTTGGTCCAACACATCTGATTCTAGCAAAACCTAATTAGTCGCCTTTTACAACATGTGTTACCTGGTTTGGGTATGTAACAGCGGCAACAGACCGAGCACCACAGAGAGCAATGTTATATAGATACAGTGCCAACAGACAGGGCACCACAGAGAGCAATGTTATATAGATACAGTGGCAACAGACCGGGCACCACAGAGAGCAATGTTATACAGATACAGTGAAAACAGACAGAGCACCACAGAGAGCAATGTTATATAGATACAGTGGCAACAGACCGGGCACCACAGAGAGCAATGTTATACAGATACAGTGACAACAGACAGAGCACCACAGAGAGCAATGTTTTATAGATACAGTGGCAACAGACCGGGCACCACAGAGAGCAATGTTATACAGATACAGTGGCAACAGACAGGGCACCACAGAGAGCAATGTTATACAGATACAGTGGCAACAGACAGGGCACCACAGAGAGCAATGTTATACAGATACAGTGGTAACAGACAGGACACCACACAGAGCAATGTTATATAGATACAGTGGCAACAGACAGGGCACCACAGAAAGCAATGTTATACAAATACAGCAGTAACAGACAGAGCACCACAGTGAGCAATGTTATAAAGATACAGTGGCAACAGACAGGGCACCACAGAGAACAATGTTATACAGATACAGCGATAACAGACCGGGCAACACAGAGAGCAATGTTATACAGATACAGCAGTAACAGACCGGGCACCACAGAGAGCAATGTTATACAGATACAGTGGCAACAGACCGGGCACCACAGAGAGCAATATTATACAGATACAGCAGTAACAGACCGGGCACCACAGAGAGCAATGTTATACAGATACAGCTGTAACAGACCGAGCACCACAGAGAGCAATGTTATATAGATACAGTGGCAACAACAGGGCACCACAGAGAGCAATGTTATACAGATACAGTGGCAACAGACAGGGCACCACAGAGAGCAATGCTATACAGATACAGCGGTAACAGATCGGGCACCACAGAGAGCAATATTATACAGATACAGCAGTAACAGACCGGGCACCACAGAGAGCAATGTTATATAGATAAAGTGGCAACAGACAGGGCACCACAGAGAGCAATGTTATACAGATACAGTGGCAACAGACAGGGCACCACAGAGAGCAATGTTATACAGAAACAGCAGTAACAGACCGGGCACCACAGAGCGCAACGTTATACAATTACAGCAGTAACAGAGCCAGAGGTTGACCACACAGAAGATGGGCAGCGGAAATATCAGACACCGAAAAGTACTATATGCGAAGTGAACAGAAGGGTACGTTCCAGCAATCTCTTCCTCCTTTGAAGTTATAGAAAAGTAAGCATTGACAAAAAATTAGAGCTGCAGATAAATACGTTTTAATGACTTTATTAGTGACCTGTGTAAAAATTAGTTTTTGTGGATTTCTTTCTGGAACTCTAACAGCGTCATGAACTTTTAGTGTCCCTGGGACGAAAGGGTTAAGACGCAGAGAATTAGTCTGTCAGAGAGACACAAGTGTAACATAATATGAATCACAAAACAAACACACAAGACCATCTTACCATCTGCTGTGAAACCAGCCCTCTCTATAAAGAACACTGGTAGTCTGATCGTCGGTGACAGGTAAAGTTCTTCTGTCTTGTCACAAGGTCTCAGCACGCTGAAGGTTGACTAGTGACGAAAAAAAAAACTGAAGGTTGACTAGTGACGAAAAAAAAACTGAAGGTTGACTAGTGAAGAAAAGAACAACTGAAGGTTGACTAGTGACAAAAAGCAACTCAATGAACGAACAAACTAATTTTTTGTTTAAAGAAATATAAACTGGGCACGCAGCTCCTCTTTCATTTGGCCCTTCCAAGCACCCATCTTTCAGACCACAACTGAATGTTATCAATAATGCATGAACATTATACAAAAATATATATCTAATGAACTGAAGGCCAACTAGTGAAGAAAAACTAAAGACTGACTAGTACAAAAAAACAGAGTTACAAAATAGCAGGAACAATATCAATCATCACATCTAATCATTTCTTTGGCACCCAACTGTGTGACTTCACAATGTAGCAGTCTGTATATCTTCAATATGCACCTGTTGTCTGTACCTTTAATATGCACCTGTTGTGTATATCTTCAATATGCACCTGTTGTGTATATCTTCAATATGCACCTGTTGTCTATATCTTCAAGATGCACCTGTTGTCTATATCTTCAATATGCACCTGTTGTATATATCTTCCCTAAGCACCATTCTGCAAACTTTCAAACCCCTCCCCCCTCTGTATAGAAAAGCCATTTACAGCACAACAAGCCTAGGTCATTTGTATTCAATCAGTTGAGATGCTGATGCTCACAGGAAGACTGGTAGGCAACTCTGCAACCAAAGGGGAATTTGTTTAACCGTACATATACAACGCAGAGCACTGAAGCGATCTCGGATGTGGCGGATTTCTGTTGTGAAGAAAAATGTGTTTATCAGCAGCAATTTTTCTTGCTTGCACTCTTATCTGGATAAAATGAATTTCTGATAAGAGCTATTTCTTGGGTGAGTTCTCCTTATCAGGCCCACACTGTATTATTATAGACCAAACATACACCTTACCTTCTTAATGATACAAAACATGCCAGTGACCGGATCAGCTGTTAGTCCCTTGGCCTTGTCTCCAACCTGTTTGAATGTATCAACACAGGTAGATAAATTATCCATAAAACTCAACATTTTTGGGTCATAATACTGTTTTCTTCTTCTTCTGATGCCCGAGATCTCACAATGGAGCATAGGCCCTCAACCAACATGCCAGACTATTTGTAAACTTGTTTATGAATGGCTAGATTTTTCAGCTAAGTTTTCTAAAGAAACAGGCGCCCCAGGAACATACCTACAACATACTAAAAGTCAGAGAACAAAACAGTTTGGTCAGCAGCTGTCACATTGAGAAACAATAATTATCTTCTGCAGTCAACACACCTTTCAGTGAAAGAGTCAGGCGTGGTCAAGAGACTTGTTCAGTCAGTCAGTTCTTTTTATGCGTAGTGCCAAATGGGGCTTCAGAGAGGACTTTCCATGCTTTTCTGTCCTGTGTAATCTTCAATGCAGTTTTCCATGTCAGAGATGCAGCACTCAGTTCACTTTCCATCGTTTATCTCAATTTTGTTTTTAAGCACCTGTTTTTTTTCTCTTTCCCTCTGGTGTCCAAGTGAGAGCTTTTTTCTTCTTCTGCGTTCGATATCAGTCATGCTAAACATTGAGTCCCGTCTGGGTCACAAATAGGATTGTGCGTTTAAGGTCGCCACCGGTCCCCCATAGCTTCTCTTGCAATGTGGCTCCCCTGGGCCAGATCCAGTCTTTGCTGGGAGAGGTAAGGGCAGTTCTGCAGTATGTGCTCAGGGGTCTGTCTTTCTGCTCCACAATCACAGGCAGCAGATTCTTTTATGCCTATCCTGTACAAGTGTGCTCGAAGACCACAGTGTCCAGTCCGAAGTCTAAGAATTGATGTTTGTTCTTTCCTGTTGAGTTTGTTTATGCTGTCACTCTCTGGTCTGTAATCTCCATTCTGCCTTCTCCACTCCCGCTTGAAAGACTGCTTTAGCGCTGTTTTGGTTTCCTTGTAGCTGTGTGGTGGATGAGGTTGTGAGTGAGAGCTGTTTTGGCAGGTATATCAGGATTCATTCTCATAATGTGGCCAAGCCATTTCCATCCTGTCTTGGTTATTATCCTGTCAAGAGTGTCATGTCTCAAATGTAGTGTGTAAGTGTGGGTACAAAGGACATGTCTCAAATGTTGTGTGGAAGTGTGGGTATAAAGGAACTGTCTCAAATGGTTGGTGTCTTAAAGTGTGGGTACAAAGGACATGAACAAAACTTTATCTGCTTGTCTGAATTTGGTACATGATAATGCAGACAACTGGCGAGGCAATGTGAAAGGTAATAAGAGAGCAGACGCCTTTTCTGGCAGTGTGACTATTGGGAAGGGCTACCTTTGTATAGAAGAGACATCCTTAATGCCAGACCAGTGACTAAATGATGTGAAGCTTTCAGTTTTGTGGAAAATTATTTTTTAATGAATATACTTCATACCCTGGGTGTACCAACTGGAGCAGCGAGAAAGGAAAACCATGTGGGAGCCATCTATCGTTATAACAACCAGACTAGAATGGGAGCTGCTAGTCTAAAAAAACATTGGAGACATACTAATATGTCTGATGAAGACGAACAATGAAGAGGCAAGTTTTCAATAACTAAGCTGGCACAGTTACAAGACATCCTCATCATAATCATGTAGCAGGTTCTTTGCACAACGTCACTCTTATCAGTCTGCTTGAAAGAAACTCTATCTCTCGCCAGCTCTCCTGCCTCATGTACTTTCATATTCTAGGAGTCACTTACATCCTGTGCCCATTTGCGTGCTGGTCAGCCCCTGTCCCTCCTTCCCTGTACCATGCCTTCTGCCATTATTTTTCTCCAATCCGCCATGGCGCTTAAAATAACCAAAATATTTCAGTTTCTAAGATGCTGTTCATTAGCCAATCTTCCTTGATGTTCAGATCTTTTAAAATGTCAGCATTTCTCCTCTTCTCTATGCAAAATATTTTGAGAATATTTCTACAGCATTTCAGCTCAAAAGACCCGATTTTCTTACTTAAGGACTGGGAGGACATTACAGGACATTCAAAGAAAACAAAGAAAACAACATAAAACTGAACCTGTTTGTACTGGCAACAACCAGAATAGAACTTCTCCCACTGCTCATGCTGCAGCTGTACAAAATTGTCCTCAGAAACTTCCGGCACCTCGTCCTCTAGGGCTATGTTGCGAATCTGCAGAAGGGCAGAATACAAGATGTTTGTAGCTGCAATGATTTTGTTTATAGTATTACTGGCATACTAGGAACATATACAACTATTAACCACTGAACCACTGACAATACTAAAACGCTGCTTGAATTCCAATATATATTGTGCCAGTTTATTTCTCCTGTTCCATCACACAATTACTAAACCACAATCATTGATGTTTACTTCCACAACTATGCCACACTAATCATTTACTCAACACTGAATACACTTTATTCAAACTACATTGACGACATAATGGCTGTCTTTTTTCAACTCTGGTGCACAACTCACTACGAGTCAACCTCGGGCTTTAGTTTGCTTTACCTTTCCAGCCCTAAGTGATTTTCTGCTCAACTTGCTGTATGCGCGGAGACCATGCCAAGCAAGGTCATCACAGGAGCACATAATCTTCTAACCGTATTTTAAAGATTATATCTCCTTCTTTTTTCTTGTTCCTCTTTTTTTTTTCTTCTTCTTCTGCGTTCGATATCAGTCATGCTAAACATTGAGTCCCGTCTGGGTCACAAATAGGATTGTGCGTTTAAGGTCGCCACCGGTCCCCCACAGCTTTTCGTGCAATGTGGCTCCTTTGGGCCAGATCCACAGTCTTTGCTGGGAGAGGTAAGGGCAGTACTGCAGTATGTGTTCAGGGTTTTGTCTTTCTGCTCCACAATCACAGGCAGCAGATTCTTTTATGCCTATCCTGTACAAGTGTGCTCGAAGACCACAGTGTCCAGTCCGAAGTCTAAGAATTGATGTTTGTTCTTTCCTGTTGAGTTTGTTTATGCTGTCACTCTCTGGTCTGTAATCTCCATTCTGCCTTCTCCACTCCCGCTTGAAAGACTACTTTAGCGCTGTTTTGGTTTCCTTGTAGCTGTGTGGTGGATGAGGTTGTGGAAGATTACTCCCAGCTTTTGCCAACTCATCTGCTCTCTCATTTCCTTGAATACCACAGTGGGCTGGTATCCACTGCAAGACCAGTTCTGCTTCCTTGGAGAGTAAGCCAATGTTGGTCCTTAGATCAGCAATTATTTTGTCTTGTTTTTTATTGGATAGTGCTTGGAGAACAGACAATGAGTCGCTAAGTATAACAATTTGGTGCCCTCTGTGTTCTTGAGTGATGAGATGTTGGACTGCAGAGAGGAGGGCAGTTGCCTCAGCTCTGAAGTTAGTGCAGATGTCACCTGCTGGTAGAGAGAGAGTTTCTGCTCTACTGCTAGGGGGTTTAATGTAAATTCCACAACCCCCCTTTCTGACTGCATCTGTAGCAGAGCCGTCGGTGAAAACCTGAGTCCAAGTGGTGTTTGGATACTTCTCATCAAGCATAGCAAGAGCCAGGGTTCTCTGTTGTGTCTCCGTCTGGGCATCTTTTGAAGTGATTCCTGGTACCTTTAGGACTACATTTGCTTTCTCTGGCTTGCTTGTCCATGGTTCTGGCCTAAGTTTTTCGCACAGTGCAACATCTCTTTCAAGCAAATCTTGGTGCTGTCTGTACAGTTCTCTAGCAAGGTGGTTGGGGCTCTGACGCTTCAGTCTGTTTTTTGTTCTCTCTTGAAATCTAAAATGCAGTGGGTGACTTTGAAGTCTTTTTAATTTCTCATACTGTAAAAGAGTTTTGTATTGTCTTCTGAGTTCGAGTGGTTCAGTATCTGCTATCTTTTCTATTTCTCTGATGGGGGTGGTTTTCATGGCTCCGAGAACAATCCTTAATCCCATATTCTGAACCTTGTCCAGTTTTCCCATTGTTGTCTTGGCTGCTGCAGCCCATGCAGTGGAGGCATATTCCATGACTGGCCTGACTGCTCCAGTATATACTTGTTTTAGGATTCTAGAGTTAGCGCCCCATGTGGTACCCGCTAATTTTTTCATAACTGCAAGCTTCTTGAATGCTTTTCCCTGTACTGCTTCTACATGTGACTTCCAAGTTAGTCGCGAATCAAGTGTAACGCCCAGAAAGGTAGGAGTGTCAGTCTGTGGAATGAGCTGGTTTTTAATCCAAATTTCAATTTTTTCTTTTTTTGGGGAGAGAGAGAAAAGTGATGCTGTGCTTTTTGATTTATTTAGCTTTAGACCCCACTTTTCGGTCCAGGCTTCTACATTTTCCACAGTTTTTTTGTAACAGATATGAGGCTGTGGTAGTGTATTCGGAGGCTGTCCAAACTGCAAAGTCATCGGCATGTAGGGTATTAAAAACGTGCTGGTGGCAGGTTGCTGTGATATCATTAATGTAAACCAGGAACAGAGTTGGTGATATAGCACTGCCCTGGGAAACTCCTCTAAGTTTTGCCAGTTTGCCAATGTGTCCATCAATTCTGAATCTGGCTCTGCGTTGGAAAAGAAAGTCTTTGATCCACTTGTACATGTTGTGCACAACTCCTGCCTGTAGCAGTTTTAGTTGTAGGCCTTCTTTCCAAACTGTATCGAAAGCACGAGAGAGGTCAAAAAAGACAGCAAGAACTTTCTTTTTTTCCTGGAAGGCATTCTCAATTTCCTGTGTCAGATATGTCAACTGGTCCTCTGTATTTCTGTGCTGTCTGTATCCTGTCTGGGTGGTGGTGATTACTGAGTTTGTCTCCAGGAACCATATTAGTCTTTTATTTACTAATTTCTCTATCAATTTTCCTACACAACTAAGAAGGCTAATAGGTCTGTAGCTTTTTGGGTCTCTTCTGTCTCCACCCTTTTTAAGGATAGGCTGGATGAGGGCTTCCTTCCAGGCTGACGGTACTACCCCTTTTTGCCAGCTCTGGTTGTAGATGCAGAGGAGAAACTTCTTGGCAGCAGGTCCAAGATGAGAGAGAAATTCGTTTGTAATGCCGTCAGCCCCTGGGGCTTTCTTCATTTTCAACTCTCCAATTCCAACTTCCAGCTCTTGCATGGTAAACCTTTCTGACATGCAGGCCTCTTTTGTTTTTGTGCTAAAGTCTGCTAGAAGAGTCTTGGTCTGGTTTCGTACTTCTTTTATTCTTTGTGTTCCTCTTTTGAAAGGAGAGTGTCCTAACTTGTTATGCACTAGACTGACATAATGTTTTCTTCTGATCACCAAAGTCGCGCAAGGGGACTAGGTTGCTGAGCTCTTCTACATAGAAATCAAATACTTTATTCAGTAACACTTAACTCTGTATCATCTAGGCTTCAAGACAGAGAAATGTCCTGTGTGGGATCCAGGACCCCGTTGTGGGGAAAACAAGAATAGACCCACTGCCTCAAAACAAGCATGTTGTAAGAGTCGACTAATTGGGGGCTTTCTTTTGAAGTCAGAGTGCATCTGTCTGAGAGGCAAGGAACCAACAGTCTGCATACAAATAAGCCAGATCTGTAAAACAATCAGGTTCTGGAACAAGACTAAAGTCCGGAGGTGGACAAATAATCAGAACTTTCCGCCAGAGTATACAGCCCGTGAACGCCAAGGAGGAGGAGACAACAGAGAAATCCTGATGTCTACAACAAATCTTTCATGTAGATCTCTCTGCGTCATGAGACACAATAAATTCACAGACTATGATGCTGCCAGATCTGTCAGCACATCGGTCTGTGTGTGCAACATGGAGTTCTGGGTTCAGAAAACAGCAAGAGATGTGGAAACAAACAAGGACAGGCATGGAGAACTTACTTCCGAGTCCACGGCATTGCTGACCTCCTCCTTCAGGGACGCCATATTGTACAATGTTTCAACCTCTACAGACGGCATTGGGCGCCGTCGATACACCTGTAAATAGAGTAAATATGATGTTATATTAACTCATTACATACAAGCAAACATATCACTTATGTCACATTAAACTACTTGCAGAAATTTACCAAAAATGGTATATTTGAGGATGATATGCCATAACAAACATTAACGTTTGATATACCGTAGTTCATATGTTGACTGCTGACATGCCTGGCAATGTTTACTGTCTACGGATGTTTACAAGGCAGCTGATGTAAAAAGCTTCAATCAGGAATCTTCTTCTTTTTCTTCTTGTTAATGCTCACCAGCTGTAAAGAAAGTTCCAGCTGCTCGTCTACTTCTGGATTTTTGTCTTGATCCAGAATCTGAGTGTTGCGTCCACATCTGTTTAAAAGATCTGGCTTTTGGTTCCTTGCCTCTCAGGGAGACTCACTCCGACTTTGAAAGAAACAACCCTAACTGGTCACCTCCTACAACATGCTTGCTTGGGGAAAAGGGGTGGGGGGGGGGGGGGGGCAGTGGGCTTATTCTTTGTTCTCCAAAACGGAACCCCAGAACCCACATACGGAAGACAGGAATCAACACAGAGCTGCAGCCCTACACTCAACAAAGAACCACAGACAGTTAATAATTAAGCAAACATTTAAAACAGTGTATCTTACACTCAAGGCTTTCATGATATCTTGAGGGGCAAACAATCCGGGAGCAAAGATCCTCTCCAGATAGACATCCCGGGGGTCACGGTTCTGAGGCACCACCAGGAAGTCCAGGGAGGCTGCCAGAACAACAGGCTCCCAGGCACTGCTGAGGTTACCTTCAGGTCTGTGAATAAAGCAAGACACCATCCTGTTATGTCAGGTAAGCAATGAGTTACTGTCTTGTTCTTCATGTTCACCAGGTGTAAACTTCAGAAAGCAGTTCTTGTTGTCTGTCGACTTCTTGTTCCAGAACTTCAGTTTTGCATGCACATATGTTCAATAGATCTGGCTTATTGTATGCAGACTGTTGGTTCATTGCCTCTCAGGCAGATGCACTATAAAGACAAAACCCCTAATTAGTCGATTGTCACGAAATGCTTGTTAGGAGTCCAGAACTGGATGAACCAGAACTTTCTGCTGGAGTTTACAGCTAGTGAATGCAAAGAAGAAGATAACTTACTCATACTTAAGCAATATAACATTAAAATATATTGTGTAGGCAGTGAAACATCACAGTGTAAGCAATACAACATTACAATATATTGTGTAGGCAGTGAAACATCACAGTGTAAGCATTACAACACTACAATATATTGTGTAGGTAGTGAAACATCACAGTGTAAGCAATACAACATTACAATAAATTGTGTAGGCAGTGAAACATCAGTGTAAGCAAAATAACAGAATATATTGTGTAGGCAGTGAAACATCACAGTGTAAGCAATACAACATTACAATATATTGTGTAGGCAGTGAAACATCAGTGTAAGCAAAATAACAGAATATATTGTGTAGGCAGTCTAACATCACAGTGTAAGCAATACAGCATTACAATATATTGTGTAGGCAGTGAAACATCAGTGTAAGCAATATAACATTACAATGTATTGTGTAGGCAGTGAAAGATCAGTGTCAGCAATATAACACAACAATGTATTGTGTAGCCAGTGAAACATCACAGCATAAGCAATATCATATTACAATATACTGTGTAGGCAGTGAAACATCACTGTGTAAGCAATAATACATTACAATATATTGTGTAGGCAGTGAAAGATCATAGTGTAAGCAAATAACATTGCAATATATTGTGTAGCCAGTGAAACATCAATGTAGGCAATATAACACTGCGATATATTGTGTAGCCAGTGAAACATCACAGTGTAAGTAACAATATGGCGACCCCCAACAATAAAATTTTTTTTGGTTGCTATTTCATAACTACATTGAATATGTGTTTTCTGATGGTCTTTGGCGACCCTAGTAAAAAGGCCGCGACCCACAGGTTGACAGCCGCTGCTCTAGGACAACAACATACGGATCAGACAACACATCAGCAGGCTAACAATCACACTTACTGCACCAGCGACGTGGTCAACACCTGGGTGTCCCCAGCCTGGGTTGTCCACAGCGACATGAGGTAATCTTCAGTGGCCACAAAATCCACAAGATCTTCCTGAAAACAAAAATCAAACACCCACATGATCACTTGCAAACTGGCGCATAGCTGTGTACATTTTAACAACATTGTCTATGGTGAATTACAGATAAATAAAATATGTGGAAGCCAGCCTCACCTACGATAAAGATGTGTGCAAGTGGGACATGAATGATACTGTTGTTGAGGCAGATTGCATGGACAGGGAGTAGCAGGAAGGGTAAATAAGAAGATGACTGCAGACAGGAGTGCCCGAAGAGAAGCACGATAAATCTTGCAATGACAACAATGGTCCTGAAAAACCCTTGCTCTAACTGGAAGATCTTAATGCGAACGGGTCACGCTACTAGTCACACCTACTCTCTCCATGGGCTGTGATCCCAATACCCTCCTATTGCATAATATAACACCTTCATCTGGAAAGACAGAAAGGTTCCAGCCAACTCACAGCATCTACAAGTATCTGCGTCAGAAATGACAGAGAGTATCAAAGACAAAAGGCTGTGAATAGGCGTGATAACAAATACAGCACCGCCAGGAATATAAGAAGATGGAAACAGCAAAAGTACTTTCAGAAATCAGTTATAAGATGGACACAGTTATGGTAATTCCAGAAATCAGTCTCCGGGTCAAGAATTGCCATCATAGCACTCGGGGTATTCCCATGCATTCTCTGTCCTCATCTTCAGCAGCCAGAACAAAGTTCTAATACTGATGGTACCGATCCCAATCTGGTTATATGTCCAGATCTTTCCATCAGTGTTTACAACCAGTGAACGCTCAGAAGAAGAAAAAGAAGAAAAGGAGGAAGAAAAAGAAGAGAGAAATTATGAAAGAATACAAAGAATGATTCTACCCTGAGTATTATCTAGCTCTCACATCTTATAGCTAACCAGATCTGTAATACAGATGTGCATGCAAAACTCAGTTCTGTACCAAGACCAAAGTCCAGGAGGGGATGAACAACCAGAAATAGAAGAGTTGAGTTGAGTCAAGACTTGACATCACATTACTCAGGGAATTCCCGTGCATACTTTGTCCTCACCTTCAGCAGCCAGCGCAGAGTTCCAATACTGATGGTACCGGTCAGAATCTGGCTATATGTCCATTTTGCCTTTCTTCTGAGTGCAGTGAGCCGGTCAGACCCTCTGGTTACACCCATGTGCCTCATTCTCTCCAGACCATGATAATCTTGTTTCTCTACTGATTCTGTTGCTTGTTCCCAAAGGGCTTTGACCACATCTGCTTTATCAAGTATCAATTTCCCACCCAGTGATGCAGATCCAGCCAATCTGTCTGCCTGTTCATTATCCACGAGGCGGGCATAGTCTGGAGAAAAGATCCAAAGTATGCTCACCACCCGTGACCTTCCCAATGAGGCTTGCCACTTTGCTTGAGGCATCCCTGACATCACCTTTCTCAGCATGCTTTCAGAGTCTATTACAATTACGAATGTGTGTGCATCTTGTTCTCTAGCCACCGGAGAGCTGCAGTTACCGCCTCCACCTCCATTCTCATGCTCGATGTTGTGGTGTCATATACTAGGCTGTCTTGCACTAAAGATTTTCCACTGGCTTTCACTACCAACCCCCCGGCACTTCACTTTCCTCTCACCACTTGTATCGATAATCAGATTACCTGGGCGTGATCTGTCATGAATCAACTGTTGTACTTCCACCTCTGTTGCACCTGCTGGCCACTCTCTGCACACCCGGCCCAATGTGATCGTAACCCTACACAGGTCAGACTTTCCCGCTGGTACTCTGACCCACTCCTCTCCTCACTTAATGTTCTCCAGCATGCATACTTTTCTTATTGTGTCTTCTGTTTGAGCCATCCACGATTTCCCCCTTTTCAGCCTCTGACCCTTACCTGCAGCTAAAGCTTTATACAGAGGGTGTTTCTTGTCCTGTGGGAACATGTTGTTGAGGTGTTCCATTGTGAGTGCTTTCTTCACTAAATTGGGCTGAGCATTTTTGTCTCCCAAGTTCGGGCTGGAAGTCGAATATTCGGGTGCATATTGTTGGTTTAGTAGCGAAGAGTGTGACTTTCTGAATTTAGTTAGAAGGTTTAGGCTTGTGCGCTTTATTCGGTTCGATCTGACTTACATGCAGGCAGATTCTCTATTCCTCACTTCTCAGGTAGATACAATTCTACTTGAGAGAGAAACTAATTAGTCACTTTTTACTGAGGTAGTGTGTCAATTCCCCCCTCACCCCATGGGGCATCAGAATCCACACAGGGAAGTCGCCTCAGAAGGAGGTATTTACAGTGTCACGTTTCTCTGCTTCATGCAAGCTAGGGTCACACAGTACCAGTACCACTTCTTCTTCGTTCACCGGCTGTGAATTTCCGGCGGAAGGTCCCGGTTAATCGTCCGCTTGGACTTTTGGCTTTTACCTGGACCTGAGTTTTGCGTGTACACCCAGTACCACTTACCGGCGGAGACTTGTCCAGTGTGGTCACATGCTCCATCCGAATCTTGCCATTTTCTATCACTGGTGTCAGGAATACAAACTGTGGAGAGAAAAAAAACAACACCAAAAGTTTACAGTAACACAGAAACCTCATTGTAGGCAGAGAAACAGGGTAATCATGAAGTTGACAGGAACACAGACACCAAATGCTAGAAGTAACACAGAAAACTTCAACTTACGTATAAAGCCACAACAAGATGATGATAATGATGACATAAAATAACTGTCAGATAAAGATTACACTCACACTTTCATTGAGCTACATACACCAAACATAGACATTATTTAAAGCCCATTTTTGCAAAATCTTTGAATATCTAGGCTCTATAATAAACAAAAATGGAGACTGTTCAACAGAAATTAAAAGGAGGATGGCCTTGGCAATGCAAAGATTGAATAACCCTAAAAGTCTATGGTTAAGCACCAGCAAGGGGATAACAATTAGAATTTTGAGAGCATGCCTCTTCCCTGTGGCTACATACGGATGTGAGTCGTGGACTATCTCTCAGTCCTTAAGAAAAAGAAAAAGGGCTTTTGAGTTGAAATGCTATAGAAAGATTCTCAGACAAAGAAGATGAGAAATATTAACATCTTAAAAGATCTGAACATCAAGGAAGACTGGTTAATAAACACCATCCTTTCTCAAAAGCTGAAATATTTTGGTCATATCAAGCGCCACGACGGATTGGAAAAAATTATAGCAAAAGGCATGGTACCAGGAAGGAGGAGCAGGGGCCGACCGACACGAAGATGGACACAAGATATAAGTGACTCCTTGAGTGTAAAAGTTCATGAGGCGGGAGAACTGGTGAGAGACCGAGTTTCTTTCAGGCAGACTGTGATGAGAGCGGCGTTCTGCAAAGGACCTGCTACATGATGATGATTTGCAAAATCAGCATCTGTGAGATGAGATCCCTGACTACAGCTGCCACCCAAACCATCCAAGATAGAGCCAATGATGACAGTATCAGACAGATTGTGGGAATGACACCTTGTACTATACTCATCAATAAACAGCAAAATCAAGAGGTTTATCCATTTCGTTAGAATGTAGCAAGATCAAATACCACCAGAGGCACTACATCTCAGAAGATCAGCTATACCAGCAGGAGTCCTGAAAATATGGACCGAACAACATTACAGACACTTTATGCCTTCACTGCATAACAATAGCCAGTGCACAGGACCAGGGGCTATTTGTCGCCATAACACTCAACGGCAGAAGTGGTTTATGAGGACGGTAATGCCAAAATATTACATTCATCAAGGGCAAACAAAATCACCCACCTTTGCTTTATTTTGAAGTGAGAGGTAAGCACAGATGTCAGATGTGTTCTCTCCCAGCACAGCCTTGATCACATGTCCAAAAGCTGACCAACAGAAACAATCTCAAGATTACCAACAGGCACAAGTGCTTCAAACATGAGCAGTAAAGTAGATATCTGCTCCACACACTGGCTCATACCTGTGGCCATCAGAGATTCAAACTTGTGTATCTGGATCCATTTTGTATTCCATGATGAATACAGACGCAGCTGGTAAGGCCCCAAAACAGAAATACTGCTTCTTCTTCTACTTCTCACTTACAAGAGCAAATGGCACATTTTGTTGTAGTTTGCAGCTAGGATTTGATATCTGTGCTGTTTGGCCCCAACACATATGATTTCAACAAACTTCTGGTTAGCTGCCTTAACAAAATGTCTTGTTAGGGGACAGCCGGTCTATTCTTGTCCTGCCAAAATGGGGCCCAGGTCCCACATGGAAAGACCAGAAATACTTTCAGCATTATTGGAGAAATGGAAGGTTCTTCATGACAATCACCTGATCTTTTGTGTGTATGTGGTGTACATACATTTATAGAAGAGCTGTCATTTGTGTGTACTCTTTAGTCAACTCACCTTACTTTTCCCACACATGTTGTTTACTGTATACCTTATGACCTTCCAGACAGTCCACTAAGATGATTTCATTGACAAGTGAAAGCCATTCTATCCAAGGTAGTGCTTTCCAACAGGTCGTTACAGAAAATCCATATCAATGCTGTTGATTCTCAGGAGAAAGCAGAGGCAGCACATGGAAATCCCTACCTCCCAAGGAGAAAAGAGTCCTGTTAGAAGCTTTAAAAAAATGAAACTTTTCCAAATGGTGTTTTTAAAAGAAGGAGAGCATAAGAAGGAGTCTGAAAAGTTTATACAAAATTTAAGGTGGCTGAACCCCCTAGACCACTGACCATACAGACAAGTATGAACTCCACAGCTTCATTGTGGCCGCCAATGTCAATAAAACATGTTATTTTATTTCAGTCATCAAGCAAAGTAATCAATAAATACAAACTTTCCTTCCCTTCTGACATTCTGAAGCGTTTGTGTTCATGTAGCCATGTGGCGTTATTATGAGCCTACTATTACGTCATGGTCCCCATTTTTTCATTCAGACAAAATCTTAACATATTTTGGTAGGTATAGTGACACCAATCATGTCTGCTAACTACGTCTGTGTATGGTGTCAAAGAAATAATATGCTACATACTAGGAGTTAAGCCAGTGCCAAAGCTGCTAAATAGGTGTAGTGGTCACCGCCCAAAGATGCCATGTCATTAAAAACCCATACATGTCAGAAAACCGGCTCTCTCTGGGAAACAAGGTTAAAGCTGAGGCCTTCAAAAAATCCACAACTGACAAACAGCACCAGATCATGCAGGTAGTACACAACCCTGCTGTCCTGCCAGTCAACAGGGGACAAACAAAGACTACCCAGTATACAAGAATGTTGACATACAACACATCAAGGCTCAGGCTTAACCAAAAGTGTGTTGCAATTTATTTTACAGTGACAATTCAATAAATGATTGGAACAAAAATCAGCCAACAGCTAGAGCATAGCATACAATATGAGAACAGTAGGCTACAAGGCAAGAGGCCCACCAAGAAAGAGATGGGTGTAGGGAGTAAAAGAGACACTATAGAAACACAATATGACATTAACACAAGCTCTACAACTAACAGGTCAGGAAATTACATCTAATACCCCTTTACAGCACAAGCAGAAGCAAAACAGAAGAAGAAGAACTCGTTAAAAACATACATTTATGAGAACAACAAACTTACAGTTAGCAACAGCAGTTGTTCCCGCATCATCCAATTCCTCACTTGTGTAATCTAGAAGATTCTCCACAAAAACACAGTCTTTGCTCTGGAAATACAATACACCAACAAGGTCAGTGTGACATAAGTTCAACTTGACAACAGTTTGAGACACAAAATACATCACGAAGATGAAGTGAATATTGTGTCTGCAAATCAAGAAACCATTTTTGATAGAGTAGGCAGAAATAAACTATGGTCTATTCTTGAGGTTTATGGGATTCACAGGACAGTTGCTAGATAACATCGTGACCATGTACCACTCTTCTCAAAGCGAAGTGAGAACTCCAGAAGGCATATCTGATATGTTTACAATCAATACAGGGGTGAGGGAGGGATGTGTGCTCTCCCTCTCTTACTGACTACACATATAGAATATCATAAGAAGCCAGCTTTAAAGCAGTCCAGACAATCCAGAAAATAAGGACCTCTGCTTTCCAAAAGAAGAATTAGATCCACACACAAGATACCAGCGACTATTTGCAGGCGATCAGTACCTGTTCTACAATGAGGGGAGTAGACGGCAAGAACATTTGAACATCCTAAGTTCAACAACTGAAGCAATGCAGGTTAGCAGAATTCCAAGTCCACTACATATAGGATTGATTGGTACCTGTCTGAAGAAAGATAAGGAATTTTAATATCTAGGAAGTATATTCTCGGAGGATGGGAGAATAGATTAGGAAAGAAACAAGATGCCAACAAACCAGTGCACTTATAAACTAACTGACACAGTTATTAGGACATCCAAACATGAGTTCCAAGAAACTGATTAAAAACAGCATATTCATACTAACACTGTGCTACCAGTGCCAGACATGGACAGTGTCAAAGACTAACCTGTGTGAAAATTAACACCTGTGAAAAGCAGCCAACTTAACAATATGAGACAAAGTTGGAAATGATATTATGAGACAGGCTGTAGAAACAACACTTTGCAGCAAATTCAATAAAAAACGGAAGATCAAAGAATGCAGCCAGAACAACTACCAATGCAGGCTCTACACATAAGAAGATCTGAAGTGAAATTTAGAGAAAAATATGGACTGATGACATTAAAGACTTCTACACTGACATGGAATGACAATAGCCATTGCTGCCTATCAAGCAATGGATCGTAAACTGTTCCTCCCCACAATGCGTAACGGCAGAAGTGAAAATTTATGATATATCATAAAAATTATTTTAACTGGATTTGAAAGAATGGTTTAAACATATTCTGGACCTCCTCGTGTGGGTTCTGGGGAACCATTGTGGGGGAAACAAGAATAGACCCACTGCTTTACCAACAAGCATGTTGTAGAAGTTGACTAATTGAGGGCTGCCTTCGAAACCGAGTGCATATGTCCAAGCGGAACGGAACAAACAAATGCACATAAATAAGCCAGTAAAACGTATGCACACACAAAACTTAAACCCTAGCACAAAGCCAAGATCCAAATGGACGAACAACCAGGACTTTCCGTCAAAGCTTGCAGCTGGTGAACAAAAAAAACATTCTGGACTGAGTTCTGAAAGAATGGTATAAACATACCCTGGACCGGTCGTTCTTGAAGTGAGCTTAGCAACATCATGGCAGTCGATGGACAATGCGGTAAAAATTGTACAAAAAGCCCTTTCACTAAGATTGGCATTTTTGCCACTGCTATCTGTTACAAATCCCCAAATAGCCACTTTTTCAGCTTTACCTCACTGGCTAAACCCCGCTATGTCAATAAATCAGCTCTGATAACGTTTGCCTATGTTCAATGTCTAGAAGGGCTAGATATTACTGTGTTACTAAAAATCAGAATCTAGGGATGTTTTCCTGTGTACAAAAGTGCCAGCCAAAGTGAACTACTCACCTTCATTGACCAGACTCGAAGTCGGAAGTCTCTACACACTGTGAAGACATAAATTTCTCCATTCACAGACATCAACTCTAAACTGACTGCCATCTCTCCAGCAGGCTGACTTGCCCTTGATTTAGAAAAACATGAGAAATTACTTTCAGAAGCTGATATCTACAAAGCCATCTGTTACACATAACTACAAATAATATTGATTCAAACTGATAACACTTGTATTTACATCCAATGAATATATATCCATATAATCCCGAGAAGGACAACACACAAAAAAATGAAGGAATCCCAAATGTTCTGGAATACCCTGGCAGAAAGGCTGCAGACGGGCAGAAATGCAGTATACTTGTGAAATTCTTGTGCACTAACAGTGACATGAAGAAGATACAGATAGGTACCCATCCTTATATACGGCATATCTGACACAATGAACAATAACATGGCTTCTGCAAAAACACAATTTGACGGTACTTGAAACATGATGGCAAAGAAATCACCCCCGAAAAATTTATCAGCGGTGATATTACTGAGATCAGAAAAAAAAAACTTTAGGTTGGCCAAAATCACTAGATTTACTTACTGCTGTCAAGTCACATAGTCGGGCTAACATCTGACAATTAGAAAAATCATATGCTTCACAGACATCAACAAGGGGGAAAAAAGGAAACTAGAACAGTTAAGATAAAGCTTTAACCATTTTTTTTAACACCAAAAACATAACAAACATTAAAAAATGTATTGCTAAAGCTGATTGTAGGCTTCAAAAGTTGCTGGTAATATTAATGTTAAATTAGTTGCTCAAGTATGCAAACAGATATTGAAGATAACGTTAAATGTCCTAAACACTTTGCTAGTTCGGCAACACTGCATCAGAAACGACAAATATTAACCAGCATTGTGGACACTAAGCAGGCACTATAACAAAATTAACTGTGCCTTAAGTTATTAAAAGATGCAAATGGAGAAATGTCCCAGTGAGAGCTTTAGGTCCCCTTAGAGGGGGAAAAGAATAAACTTATTGCCTCATAACATGCAAGTCACAAAAGTCGACTAATTAGCAGTATTTCCTTCAAAGTTAGAGTGCATCTGTCTGAGAGGCGAGGAACCAATAGTCTGCATACAAATAAGCCAGATTTGTAAAACGACTAAGTCAAGAAGTGGAGGAACGCCCAGAACTTTCCTGCTGGAGTTTACAGCCGGTGAACCGGAAGTATAAAAAATGACTGACAATATTCAAGACTGTGGACAGATACAAGGCACAGACAATTTAAAACAATATCGTACCTTAAGTTATCAACAGATGTAAATAGAGAAATGAAAACATGTTATCACCTAAATACACACAAATCTAAGAATAAATCAATAAGGCTTTAGCAAGGGCCCACAAGATATGAAAGAAGAGGTCCAAATCTCATGTGAATATAGTACCTCAAAGCCCCAGGTATAATACCATTCCAGAGTTTCTTCATGACAGATGAGCAGGACAACTCCTGCTGGATGACAACACCTGTGAATATATGTATATGTATGTCAGGCGTCATCACTGTAACAAACCACATCATATGTCAGGCGTCATTAATGTAACAAACTGCATCACATGTCAGGCGTCATCATTGTAACAAACCACATCACATGTCAGGCATCATCAGTGTAACAAACCACATCATCTGTCAAGCGTCATCATTATTACAAACAGCATCACATGTCAGGTGTCATCTAACAAACTATATCACATGCCCAAGCGTCATCATTGTAACAAACCACATCAATCAAACATGCTATGGAAGCAGTAGCTAGCATGTTTGCCTCCTGGCTTCTTAGTCACAAGGTTGAATCCCCATTATCCCTGTGTGGGTTCTGCAGCCCTATTTGGAGTGGCGGAGGGAGAGATAACAGAACCAGTGCTTCACTAACAAGCATGTCGTACAAGGCAACTAATTAGGCATCTTTCCTGCAAACTCAGAGCACATCTACCTAAGAGACACAAGGAACCAATAGTCTGCATACAAGTAAACCAGATCTGCAAAATGGATGTGCATGCGAAATTAACGTTTTGGAACAAGATTAAAGTCCAGAAGTAAATGAACAACCAGAACTTTCCGCCTGTGTTTACAGAAGAGAGAATCCCTATTCAGACAGAGTTTTTCATTTGACATGGGCTTTTAGGGTGATCCAGTCTTGTTCTTCTTCTGTTTACAGATAGGCTATGATATCTGCACTTTCTGGGTTTCAGAAAACCTTTAATTAGTCATCTTTTCCAACATCCTTTCCTTGTTGGGGGGTGGTGGGTCTATCCCCCCCCTTTTCAACAACAAAAACAGGACTAGAGAATCCACACTAGCATCGTGTAACAACTTCCTTGCAGAACATCACTCTCATCACGGTCTGACTGAAAGATACCCAGTCTCTTGCCAGCACTTCCTCCCTATGCACTTTCCTACCCATGGTGTCACTGATAACACCTGCCCTTCTTTCCTGGTACAATGCCAAGCTTACAAGACGTCCAGATTTTTTAGTATGTCAGTATTTTTCTGCGTTTTTGTCCACAGTATTCTGAGAATCTTTCTATGCCATTTCAGCTCAAAAGCCAGTATTTTCTCTCTTGTTTAATTTTTAGCTTCAATGGGAAGACCAAGTTTAAAAATCAGTTTCAGGGAATTTTCTGGAACATAAAGATAACTGGTGTGATAATGAGCACAGTCTGATGGAATGTTTATGGTCTATACAAATACGGAAGTGGTGCCACAGGCATAACAAGCCTCAAGAACCTGATCCTTTCAGATGGGATCACAAAGACCTGAGCACATTCCGCAAGTGTGCCCACTATACTTATGACTTTGAGGAAAAAAACCTGGCCTCAAGAGCAAAGTGTGCAGAGCAGGCAATGACAACTACATGTGAGTTCACAGAGGCAGCTCACCTGACGATCTGACTTGAGCACACAAAATCAAACACAGGGAAGAAGAAAGAAGATCTTATCTTCTTAATATAGTGGCGTTCTCTCTTCTCTCTTTCTCTGTCTCCCTCTGTCTTTTTTCCCCTACAACTAACCCACCATCACAATGTACTCCAGTTTTCTCTTTCTAATGACATGACCAAAGAATACAATTTGATGTGGGCAATCGGTCCTCTTCTTGTGTCATTTATTTCAAGACATCTTTCCTACTCTTTTTACTATGTCCAGGGTTTTATCTTTCATCTACAAAACCACACCTACAGTGCTACCAAATATTTTCACTTATCGTCCAGCCGCCCTTTACTAACTTAGAAAATGAACTTACCTGCAACGCCCACAGGTGGCATCTTGACAATCAACAGTCCTCCAGTGTTTGTGGCCAGTACAAATAAAGCGTGGCCATCATGACACACACAGCTGGCACCTCCCAGCAGGTGAGAGTTTATGCTGCCCCCTGGTGTCAGCAACACTTGGTTTTTGGGATCGTCCGGCAGCGAGGCATCATAAAATATGGAGGAGGCATTTTGATCGGATAGAATAAATGTCTGCTGTTGGATGGAGAAACAAGTCGAAATAGGAATTCACAATACAAAAAATATAAATGTAACACAACAGTTCTCTCCATCTCTCGCACATGTGCACTTTGATTGTTTTTTCTAGTTTATTCCTTTATAATTGTCTTTACACAGATCTTGAGGGCACTAGTTTTATTTTCATTTATTCACTTTTTTCTTCTTCTTCTTCCCGATGACCAGCTATAAACTCTGGAGGAAAGTTCTGGGTGTCCGCCCAGCTCCGGTCTTTAGTCTTGTTCCAGAACCTGAGGTTGCGAGCACATCCATTTTACAGATCTGGCTTATTTGTATGTAGACTCTTGGTTCATTGCCTCTCAGGCAGACATACTCTTGACTGTGAATGATCCCCCCCCCCCCCCCCCCCAATTAGTCAACATGCTTGCTGGGCAGGCAGTGGGTCTATTCCTGTTTTTCCCTAAAATGGCTCCCAGGAACTGACACAGGGATACTGACATTAAACTTTTTTTGTTTTCATTTTAAGCTTTCTCTGAATATCTTCTTCATGCACGGCAACATTAACAAAAGTAACAGAAAGCAACAATCAACTTGAAGTTGTTGATATCTCCATAGTTTATCCCGAAATTGAAAGCAGGCATACCTTTCTATATTCTGTGTATGTTAGACACTTGTGTCAAGTGTTTAGCCATCCCTTTACCAACTTGACAGTTTAAATTATCAGTGTCTCTAATCTTAGCTAGTTGAACTACTGGTTTTAAAGCGGGTTATGACCTGTGTGCTTTCAAAAGACTGCCAATTTACTTATTTAAAAACATAGCACATGACTGTTAATTCTTACCTGGCGAGTCAACTGATTTGGATGTGGAAACACAAGGCGATGAACACTGGCAACCGTAGCCACAAGAACAACCACATTTCCGTGTGACTCATGGACGGTGACCTTCGGTAAAATAGGCGTGTCCTGAAACCGGTACCGAACCAGGTTCCCAGAGAGCGACAGATCTAGTGATTCTTCCACCAGCTCAAGGATGTCCTGGTATGTTCTCCTGAAATATTCAGCAATAATGATTGCATGCTCAAGTATATTTCCTGAGACACAACAACAAGTTTCAGTAAGGCCATTCAAATAGAGGCCAGCGGATCTCTGCCAGTTGTATTGTATTATGATCCTTCCACACTGGTGATCCGTCCTCTAGCCAGTGACAATCTCCATCTTCAACATCTTGGCCCCTGAGTAAATGAAGTTGAATAGCCCTGACTCAGGGCCCACTGCGCAGGAGCCAGTAATTCAATATTTTCCTGACTAATTGGCGCTTGGAGGGTTATGTGATAAATTATTATGCCCGCTGTCTTTACTTTCCTGGTGTTCATTGTTATGCTGGGTCAACCTGGAAAAACAGTTGCATTTAAAAAAATCCATTTTGACAGGGCGTGCAGACAATCATGCTACCACGCTTACAGAATCCTCCCTTCCTTTTTTAATATTTACCGGCTGTAAATTTTCTTGAAAGTTCTGGTTGTTCTTCTACTTGTGGTCTTTGGTCTTGTTTTTGTTCGCAGACTGTTGGTTCCTCACCATTCTGGCAGATGCACTCTGACTTTAAAGGAAACACCCCTAAATAGTCATCTTTTATGACATAATTGTTAGGGACAGTGGGTCTATTGTTGCTGATTCCACAAACTGGAGGCCCCCAAACCCACACTGGGAGTTAGGTATTCAACATGACAGCAGAATCTCTAAACATACAAACTGTGAATTTTTCACAGAGGTTACATTTGGTTGAGTTTCCTAGATGTTTCCCATGGAAGTCAACAGAGTTCTTTATTAGTGTCTGACCCTTGTACATCATCATGTGCCACTTTTAAATTACATTGTATCATATCACATCATAGTATACATCACATAGAAATCTAGCCCTTACTTCCATTCTATACTGAGAAATCTTTCCAGTATCCTGGCTGATATCCAGTGCAACATCTTTGGCCTCTCTTGATGACATCTGTTTTAGGGCGTCATGTCCTCAATATTGTTTACCCAATTCAGGGCCTGTTTGATGATTTACTGGATTCTTATTTAGTCTGTACAGACTTGCAATATTTTTTACGGTGTAACAGGCTCACAGTCAGCTCTGGGGCTAAGTCGATGCGAACGCTTTGTAATGACAGGATCAATCCCAGCTGCGGGCCATGCGCTTTGCTTTGGTTTCGACAGTGGTATCAAAAAAGCCGACTGTCCAGAAAGCAATGGCAAACTACTGGACGTGAATTTGCCTAGAAAAACCCACACAACAGCCAGGGCTCACAAGATGGTCATTAACTGCTGTTATTTTATTCTAAAACACTCACAAGACAGCTGCTGATTGCATTGTTATTTACTATGTAATAGACTAACAAGATGGTCATTAACTGCTGTTATTTTATTCTAAAACACTCACAAGACAGCTGCTGATTGCATTGTTATTTACTATGTAATAGACTAACAAGATGGTCATTAACTGCTGTTATTTTATTCTAAAACACTCACAAGACAGCTGCTGATTGCATTGTTATTTACTATACAACAGACAAACAAAATGGTCAGTGACCGCACTTTTATTTAGTCTGTGGACAAGAACATTAATCTCACCAGTAAATAAATCTGTTCCGGACGCTGGACCCCGAGACACCAGCATCTCTGTAAGCATATCCTCCGCAGCTTTCTGGCACTTTGATGTCTTGTAGAGTACTGGCAGAAGCTCCTGTGAGTTATACAAATATCTCTGGCTGGTACATAGGTACTGATCTGGTAACTAATTTGTTACTGGGGTATTTAACATATAGAAACTAGTTGATTTTAGAGAGATTTTATCATGCTACAGACATGTAGTCCATGGCAGATCCTCCTGTAGGGGTCTAGTGTGATAGGCTTTCACACAACCTAGGCAACAGTATACTGAGATAGGGTGGTCACTTCCATTCCTTGCTAACTTCCTTCTCAGGTCTTTCTTAAATTAATCATGTCTATTTTAAAAGGATGGTTTCATCTCAGTCATACAAAGTCAAAAAGACATAATATAAGAAGACCTCCATGCGGGAGCATGTACAGCAGGAGTCTATTAGCAGGTGGTCCCCCTTCAAGAACTGTTTCAGCCCATTTATCTCCTAGACAATCCCAGAGGGCAAGCCGACCTGGGTCATGACTCCCAGGCCTCGGAAATCTCCTGCTGCGCTTATCAGACAAGACGTTATGGTAACTGCAACAGGTACTGAGGCTGTGGTGATATTTTGTCCCTGTGGTAGCAAACTTATAATTTTCTCCAGGGCCAAGTTGAATAGAAGTGGGGACAGAGCACCACCTTACTTTCCCGATAGTCACCTGACTATCCAAGTTGTCTTGTGGGCTAGCCACGTACAATAAAGAACACCACCATGACGGGAGCTTGAATAGCAGGGGTCTGTGTTTCACCGAGATACAGACAGAAAAATACATCCGCCTCCATTCCTCTCTCTAGTTGGCCTTCTCTTTCTAGCTGCTACACCAAGTTAGAGCCACTGGCACTGGTCTTACTACGTTCACTGGAAACCTGGACCTGACAGTCTTCTTCTTCTTCAGCGATCTCTGGTCATGCGCATAATTCACTGTGGGTCATAAACTGGGATATCTTTTCAAGGTCTCTTAGGTTTCCCCAACGCTTAGTTGTCAGTTCTACTGGGTGTTGCCATATGTTGCTCTGCAGCCAGGAGAGGACAGTCTTGCAAGACATGTTCTGGAGTCTGTTCAGCACGAAGGCACTGGCCAAGAGCTGTTTTGCTCATACCTAATTTATATGAGTGTTTATTGAGTCAATAAAATTACTTGATTTTAATGATTCTTGGTTGGTTTGGTGTTTTTTTATAGTGAAACTGATTTCAGCAGATGTTAGGGCAAACAATTACATATACGGCTCTCCTTTCAACTACGGCCGGTAGACAACAGTAGACGGCCGGTAGACAACAGTAGATGGCCGGTTAGTCCGAGTTCTATCCCCTGGCTGCAGTGCTAGTACGGACTGGACAGGAGGAAACGAAACAAATGATATAATTACTGTGTGTTGGCGATAGACAGCGTGCACTGCCCTGCTATAATCATACGGTTAGGGTTACGGTTAGTGTCGCCGCATCTCGTCGTCGCACAAACTCAAAGTAGCAACCCAAACCCTAACCCTAAACCTAACCCATACCCTAACCCAAACCGTATGATGACAGTAGCGCACTGCACGCTGTCTATCACCAACACACAGTAATTATGTCACTTGTTTCGTTCCCTCTAATCAACTAATCCACTCCGTAATGCGTCGCAAGAAGAGGTAATTGAACACGGTGGCTAATTTGAGTCGCAGCGCGGGGTCTGCCAGGCATGTCGACCTGACTTTGTTTTCTGATTCGTGCCTTCTACAGTCCGTAATTGCACTGCAGCCAGGGGACAGAACTCCGACTAACCGGCCGTCTACTGTTGTCTACCGGCCGTAGATGAAAGGAGAGACAAATATACTTTATTTGAATATTTCACTTTATGCTCTGATTAAAAGAGAAAGTTTAGGTTTTTGGGAAACAGTAGGTTCTGGTGTTCCTTTTTCTACTCAAATGTAAAATTAATTGCATGTGAAAGAACAATTCAAAATAAAAAAATATATATATATATATATAATACTTATAGTATACTATTACTATTACTATACTCTATACTATATAAATAAATAAAATCTGGACCCAGCAAGCGGTATTTATTTTTAACTGTGTATGTTAATGTTTCATAGACTTTATTTCTATGCCGAATAACTACAATTTAATCAGCTTTCTTTGTTGGTATGAATGTGACGGTACCTGTACATATTGTAATAGCCTTCCAGCGAGAAGCGCCGACCGAAGGAACGCTGACTTCTCTAAACATCCCGCTGTTCATTCCCGACGCCGCCATTTTTGCCGGAAATGGCAGTGGTGACAAGTAAAACTAAGCTCCATAGACATGAAACTAATCGCGATATTTGATTCAAATATTTCAGTACATGAATACTGTACCTGAAGTGATTGCCTTGGCAGGGGAACGTGGAGGCTTGAGCTGACTAAGATCCCCTGCTCCAAGAAAAAATGTTTGGTATTTTGTAAGGGAATAGACGCCCCCCCTAACAATTTATATAAGTTCTCTTTTAAGTATTTTTTCATATTGTTGTAATTTGACATGTATTGTTTTATTTATTGGCCCCAGCTGCACATAATAAATGTTATTATTAGGCACTTAAATAAGGCCTCCTGAGTACCACCCTCTAGAAAACAAATAGCTGCTACCCCCCCCCTCCCCTTTTACACACACATACACACACGCGCGCGCACTCGCGCGCATTCATATTCTCTTCTAGATCCCTTTATGGTTTCTTCAAGTCGGCGATCCTATATATTTGGATCCTTCTTATTGTCATTCTCCTCCTCCATCCCTATTTAGCGTATGGGCTTTAGAATACAAATATTATAGACGTGTTCTAAGAATAGCATAGGTAAGAAAATAACAAACGCATCCATACTTCAAGAACTGATTACTGAAAAATGTTGGCTATTAAAGACGATAACGGACATAAAATTGAAATATTTTGGTGACCTGAAACGTCCCGTAAGTTTAGAGAGAAATATAATGGGGGGGGGGGGGTAAATGCTTGGGAAAAGAAGAAGAGAAAGGCCAAAGAAAAAATGGGTGCAGTATGTGGCGGACGATCTTCAGATGGGTGTATCAGAAGCAGGACAGTTTTGACTTTAACCTCTAGTCCAGTAGAAGTGTGGACTATTCAAAACACTATGGAAACAGCTGGCGATTTTTTTTTAATCAGATTGTAACTGGCATCATCAGTATGCTAACTCTTGGCTGGCTATCGAGGGGGGGGGGGTGGGGGACATAATACCCGTGGGTATGTCTTGAGTGCAGCAATGCCAATTCTCGATTCATTCAGCAAGTAACGTAGCTAATTTTCAAAGCAACTGATTCCCTTGTCTGGATCTGCTATGAGACTAGTGGAATAGTAAGAGTTTAAGAAACAAAAGATTTATTAGCCAAATAAACAAACTCACATCGCCATTCGACAAGATGGTGTGAATCATTTGTACGGTTAGGTATGCGCGATTTCCAAGGTTATTTAGTTGGTTAGTTAGATTATTATCATAGCACATAGAACCATCCAGTCTAAAAAGTGCTCAAATCCCCTCTTCAGTATCTCTCTCAGCGTATAGTGGCTTATGACACCAGTTCTGTGTTAGTTTACTATTCTTCTTTGGGCCCTTGTGTATTGCTCTTGTCTAGCCTCACCCCTTTTGGTGTCATGTTCCCGTAGTCTCGTCAGTGCTGCAGATTCGCAGTCATTAATTGATTCGTTTAACCGAGCTGCTTTTCTGAGGTCGTTCAGTATATCAGCCCTGTCCATTGCTCGTCCGTTTCCAACGTGAGCATCACTTGCAAGTCTGTCAGCTCGTTCATTGCCCTTTATACCAGAATGACCCAGAACAAATATGAATTTGATTTTTTTTTTTAGCCTAGATCTATTCAGGGACTCCACCAATTGTCTTAGTATGCTACTCTTCTTCTTCTTGAGCATGTTCATTGTGTCGGTAAGAGAGCATGCAAGGTTGAAATAAGGTACGTAACCGCTATAAGAATTACGGAAAAACTGAGTTGTCCTTCCATTCTTCCGTGTTGTCGTTCCTTCCGTGTTTCAGTGTTGTCGTTCCTTCCGTGTTGTACTCTTTGGGGTGCCACCGAAAAATGTGACCACATTTAAATTACAAAATCTCAACATGATGGCAAACTACCACAACAAATCCCAGATACACTGATCAGTTTCTAACAAATTATAATTGCGGCACCTATAACGGATACACAAGCCTGGTGTAACCTGCAATCGGGTGTTCCTGATACATTTTTTTTTTCTACTTCTTTTTCTTCTTCTTCTTACAAACTACTTATTATATTATTCAGTCGTCTCCTTGTGAGAAGTAATTTATCGTTTTTTGAAGCCCCACCACAGCTCTTGCCAGGGGCCGCAATATAACCCGGCCATAAGTATGGTCAAATGGCTGAACGCGGTTTCTGGGACCGCTCCACGGGTGATCCTCATGGCGGCACTTTGTGTCATCGGGTGTTTATCACTTGTGTCATGTCCTGGTGGGGTAATCGAAAATAGAAAGATAGATTCTTCTTTTACCTTTCTAAAAATACTGCGTGGCAGGTTGTGATGTGGTTTACAGCTAGATTGTGATATCTGCACTTTATGGTCTATGATGTCCGATTAACGCACCTTAATTATTTGTATTTTACGTCATGTGTAGAGTGGCAAGCATCGTTTCAGAAGTCTCAGATAGTTATCCTTCTTTAGTTATTTTTGTCCAGGTCATGCTAGTGTGTCTGGAAAAGAACTAACCGATAGAGTAGCTGGTTGTGCGCCACTTTGTAGAGATTAAATATATGGTAAGCTGGGTGTTGTAAGTTTCCTTAGGGAGCGAGTCAATAGTGCAGAGGCACACACAGATCGTCGTGACCTGGAAGTCTGCGCTTGCTCGTAAAGAGAGGCACGGAACACTTATGGAAATGTCTAGAGTGCTTTGATGTTGACCGTTAATTCAACATTCTTTATGTTTTATGTTATGTTTGTTATGTTATGTTATCACAATCGACGTCACTGCCACATTACGCATTCTCATGGATGCTCAGTCTTCCGAAGCAGCAGTCATTCTAAGGCACTTCTACTAATTGTTTCGATGAGGAGTTGGTTATATTGTCTCCTATCTCGGCCACGAAGGCAGCATAGACGTCTTTCAGTGTGCTTTACTTTAAAGTCATGCAATCGTGTTAGTGTCAGAGATTCGTCATTATCCACTAGCCCAGTCCGTACAGCGTTGATTTCTTCTCTGTCCATGCCTCTTTCTGCATGCGTTGTTGCATTGTTTGCCAATTGGTCTGCTCGTTCATGTCCCTTTACGGCAGCATCACCAGGTAAGTAGATCCAGGTAAGGGAGGTTGTGTTGAGAGGCAGTGGGTCTGCTCCCCTACCCCCACCCAGTGTAAAGGGGGTCCAGGAACCCACACGCAGATGGTAAGGATATGATAGTAAGTTGTGTTTGTTATGGCACAAATTCCATATTTAGGCTACCCAACAACAAACACCAATTGTTTAACGTCTACTAATGTATAAATCTCCTTCGTGCCACACGAGTAAAAACAAAGTAGATAAAAAGCCGGCAGCAATTAGCAGAATGAATGTCAGGATGGTCTACGAGCGGCGAGAACAACTAGCCCCATTGTCTAGTCGAATACACTTCAGGTAAACAGCGCCTGATAACCTTTGACTGCGTCACTGCGCCCAGCCCCACTTGTTATTTGAACCTGCTCAGTGGTTCTCAAACGGGCTTTCATTGCCAAAGCTCCCGTGTGGGTTCCGGGGCTCAGTTGCCGGAAAAAATAAGAATATACCCACTGTCTCTCTTACAAGCATGTTATAAGAGTTAACTAATTTGATTGTTTTTTCGATGTCTGAGTGCATCTGTCTGAGAGTCAAGAAACCAACAGTCTGCATACAAACACGCCAGATCTGTAAAACTAATGTTCACGCAACATTCAAGTTCTGAAACAAGACTAAAATCCAGAAGTGGACGAACAACCAGAGGTAAGCGTAGGAAGGGGATGCGGGCTGGACCTGGTGTAATCACTAGGGCGGGGGGGGGGGGAGTAGATGACAAATTGGCAAAAATTTGTGTTTTTAACATAATCAAATACGTGAGTGTGAGTGTATATGTATTGTGGGGGGGGGGGGGGGGAGAGACGTGAAATTGTATGTACCGGGTGCCACCTTACCTTGCTACACCTGCGAACAACCAGAACTTTCCACCTCAGTTGGAAATCAAGTCGGCGGCCATGATGGGTACATCATAAATCGAGTGTCGATTGGTTTGAAAAGATGGACTTATTAGCATCAAACGCCAGGGCGTGTCATTACGTGGAAACTGACCATGCAATCATATCGGTGTGAAAGGTAACGAATGAGCGGACCAACTGGCAAGCAACGCACCAACGCATGTAGGGAGAAGCAAGGACATGCTTGTAATGACTAATCTCTTACACTAACACGATTGCGTGACATAAGAGTAAAGCATGGTTAAACACGTCTATGCCGTCTTCGAAGTCGGGATAGGAGACATATTAACCAGCTCCTCATAGGAACGATCAGTAGAGGTACCTTGGAGTGGCGTTGCTTCGGTGGACTGAAAAAAAAACATGCCCAATGTGCAGTGACGTCGATTGTGAAAACATAAGAAAAAAATCTCACACGAGACACACAAATACATTGCCAGACAAGCCTTGTGGCCACTCCAACACACTCTAAACACATTATAATGAAATTAATATCACTCGCAGATGCAGAAAATGAGACAACCTGTTCACAATGTTTAATTGGCTCTAGCGGTTTTTACTACTGTGGTTTTATTAGGCAAATTTACGTTCAGTAATTTAAATTGTCTCTGAAAAAGCATGAACTCCGTAACTCCGGCGGCAGTCCCTATGAATCTTCGTGAATTTACACTGGTAAACTGAACGACACAGCCGGAGAAAGAGACATACATTACATACAGACAGACAAACAGACAGACAGACAGACCGTGTATTTGACAGAGAGAATTTAGGATTTTAAGAAACACTGGTGTATAACAATGTGTATTTGTGTCAGTTCCACGACCTGGAGGCAACATTCAAACCCTAGCCCACAAGGACAGGCATAGACCCAGAGAGAAACAGACACGGCCTAGTTTGAGGAACACTGGTATATTAAAATCTGTTCTTTTGTCTGTCCCACGAAAGGGAAGGTAACTATCTGTCCCTAGCTGGTAGACAGAGAGACAGGCAAAGAAAGGGAGAGAGAGAGAGAGAGAGAGAGAGAGAGAGAGAGAGAGAGAGAGAGAGAGAGAGAGCCCAACGATTTGAGAAACACTGATATATAACAACCTGTACTTTTGTCGATCCCACGACAGGGGAGGTAACAAACGGGACCCTAGGCCGCAGACGACAACGACAGAGGTGGAAAATGGCGACACTTCTCCCTCGGGAGACACTACCTCCCGGTTGGAACTTAGGCGTCACACAGGATGGGAGGATATTTTTTATCAAGTAAGTTTCTAAAAAAAAAAAAAATCACAAACTACTCTTTCCTTATAATGTGCCTTTCACGTTGTTACCTGTCCCGTGAGTTATCGGTGATAAATTAGTTATTAATCATAATGGACTTGTTGAGGAACGTGTCGCACCCTGGACTAGTTTAGTAGTTAGGCAGTGTCAGTGAGAATCAAACTGGTGGAGCAAGTTAATTGTGTTTCCATTTGTTTCCCTTCTTGTAGTGACACAGAACGGACGACATCATGGCTGCATCCAGCTACTGGACAACCTGTGATGACGGGTCTACAGTATAGTCCAGGTGAGAGGGTTGTTGATGATAGTGATGATCTGATATTTCAAATATTATTTGTATGGGGGAAAAGAAGGTCTGTGTTCACCGTATCAACAGGACGTTGTTTGTGTTGCTTATCATCTTATGCCCCGTATCATTACAACTTCTAAATTTATTGGTTATTAAAACCTATTTTAGTCTTGCGTGAGGTAAAAGCCTATAGTTAGTAGTTGAATTCAAAGTCTCTCCAGTAAACATTTCTAGTTTTTTTCTTAACACATCTCTGTCCATAATGGGTCTGTGGAACAGCACTGTAAAATATGTCTCTGTTAAACAAGTCTAGTTAAAAAAAATATATCTGTTAAGCAGCTCTTCCCTATGTTGGTTCCGGGGCCCTTTTATAGGGTAAACAAGAATAGACCCACTGCCTACCCAAAAGCATCTCGTAAGTCGACTAATTGGGAGCTTTCTTCGAAGTGGTAGTCGGAGTGCATCTGCCTGAGAGGCAAGGAACCAAAAGTCTGCATTCAAGGGAATCAGATCTGTAAAACTGTTGCACACGCAATATTCAGGTACTGGGGCAGGACTGCAATTCAGAAGTGGACGAACAACCAGAACTTTCCGCCAGAGTGTACAGCTGGTGAACGTGAAGAAGAAGAAGAAGAAGCTCTAGTTTAAAAACGCCTATGTTTAACAGCTCTAGTATAAAATGTCTCTTTAAAAATAAAATATGTTTCTGTTGAACAGTTCTGATAATAACATATTTCTCTTGTTATGGTGGTATATAAATATATCTGTATAGAACAGCTCTAGTCAAACAAATGTCTGTTGATCAGTATTATTTAAACATGTCAGCTATCCTCCGAATAACGGTCCTAAATTATCGAGGCGTAAAATATACCCTAACAGGGCCTCAGTCACGTGTCAATTGCGCACTTCCGGGGACTATAACGCCACCGCCGAATCGCGAACTTCTGCCACCGCCGAGAGTATCCCCTACGCCGCTCATGCGGCGTGGATTGGGGCTAAACTAGATGGCTAGGACTCACGAGCAAATAAATAAAATGAAGGAAGCTGCAGGAGATGCGGTAGCTGCTGATCGTGAGTCCCAGCCATCTAGTTTAGCCCCAATCCACGCCGCGTGCGCGGGGTGGGGGATAATCTCGGCGGTGGCAAAAATGTCCCAGGAAGTGCACAATTTAAGATGACGGAAGTGCGCAGTTGACACCTGACTGAGGCCCTGTTAGGGTATATTTTAGCCTTGATAATTTAGGATCGTTATTCGGAGGATAGCCAACATGTCTTTACTGAACAGCTCCATCTCAAATGATGTATCTGTTAAACAGCTACAGTTTAAACGAAAGCTAAAGTAAACATGTTATGTATGTCCTTGACAGTTCTTTTAATTTGGTTTTGTTGCAACATTGAAGTGATAGTATTTCAATTTAGTCTTCCACTGCCTCTTAACTCCCAAAGGAGCATAGGTTCTGAAGTAAAGTACATCAGGCCAGATTTCTTTGGTATGCTCAGGTGAAATTTATGAGACAATTTAACATCCTAGGTGTTGATTTTTTCACACAGACACAGCTGATCAGGCAGGCCGCCACACAGAAAACATTGGTGTGTGTGGGGGGGGGGGGGGGGGGGGGTCACCCACTTTAATTTTCAAGACTTGTTTAATTGCAAATTATCAATAATGCTACTGATAATAATAACTGCATAAATAATACTAGGATTATTATTATTATAACTGCACAGTTAAACAAGGCTTAATCCCCCCACCACTACAAGATTATAATATAATAATGTATATTATTATTAAAATATCCAGTAAAAACAATATATTTGAAATAGTATTTATATATAAACTGAGGCTTACAAAAAGGAATGTTTATGTTTGGGGAGGGGGGATCTGCTTTCCATAAATTGTGAAGGGGGGGGGGTGTCTTTTTCTTCTTCTTCTTCTTTACTTCCTCTTTTACCGCTGTGGGTGTCGAGGGAGATATAAGGTTCTGTTTCTAGCTCTTCTGGCTGCCTAGACCATAGGCACATCGTGCTGTTGTAGAGTTTCTCTGATGTTATCCTTCCATCTTGTTCTTGGTCTACCCCGTGCTCTACGTCCTTTTTCTCTTTCCATGTATGCTTTGCATGGTATGGTGCCACAAAGCATTCTCTCTAAGTGGGCAAACCATTTCACTTGCTGTCTTTGTATGTAATCCAGAATTGGTTCTGTGCTGACTTGTTCTCTTATGATCTCATTCCTAATCTTATCTCTTATGGTAACTCCTACAGCCCTTCTCAGACATCTCATTTCCGTGGTAACTAATTTTCTTTTATGGTTTGTTGTGAGTGACCATGTCTGGCACTGGTAGCACAGAGTTGGAATAAATATGCTTTGAATAAGATGTCTCTTTGTGCTGATTGAGATTGTCCCATGCTGTAAGAGGGGGGCTAGCTGTCCCAATACTTGGTTTGCGCTACTGCATCTAATGTCAATTTCTTTATTCAATTTCCCATCTTCGGTAAATGTAGTTCCCAGATATTTAAACTCAGATGCCTGTTTAATGCCTTTGTATTCTATTGCTATGTTTGGGGGGAATGTCTGCTTGCTGTAAATTATGGGGGGGGGGGGGGGGGGGTACCAACACCTGTGGGGTGTGAGATATAAAGTGTTACAGCAGGCTAACACTTACGTTAACTCTCTCTCTCTCTCTCTCTCTCTCCTGTGTATAAATGAACATCTACCCTGATCTGTCTATTTTCCCATGTAAATAGAAGAGACACACTTCCCCCTTAACAACAAGCTGACAAATTAAGGGCTTGCCTGAAAGAAACTGGATTTCTTGCCAGCTTTGCCTCCTCATACACATTCATATTCAAGGAGTTACTTACATCCTGCACCCATTTTCATGTTGGTGGGACCCTACCCCTCCTTCCTGGCACCCTGCTTTCTGCTATTAATTTGTACAATCTGCTGTGGCGCTTGATATGACCAAAATATTTCAGCTTTCCAGATAAGACGATGTTTGTCATCCAATCTTTCGTGATGTTCAGATCTTTCAAAATGTCAGCATTTCTTCTGTTTTCTTCCATGGTATTCTGAGAATATTTCTACAGCATTTTAGCTCAAAAGCCCCTATCTTCTTTCTCAAGGACTGGGAAATAATGTGACTTATATTCGCATGTTGCTACAATGGAGATGCATGCTCTCAAAATTTTAACTTTGATTTCCTTAATGGTGCTTAACCGTAGACTTTTGATGCTGTTTAAGCTTTATATTTCTATGGCCAACCTCCTTTTGACTTCTATTGAAGTCTCTATTGCTATTTTTTCTGGAGCCTAGATATTCAAAGCTTGTAACATTTTCAATTTCCTTATCATTTTTTATTATTTTGGGGTGACAGCCAGTTTTGTCTAAAGACATAATTGTTCCCTTTTTAATTCAAGAATAGTTTTAATTCAAATGCTGCTCTCACAAAATTAATTTCACTTTTGCACCTGTGTCAAAAATATCTCATCACACTTTGATCTTCTGGTACCTTGCTGTTGTTCATTGTGAGAAAGTGCCCATTTCTGGACATTGTATATGGTGATTCCCAGGGGCTTCTGTTCTATTCCTGTGTCCATCATCTGGAGGGTCAGTCTCTCACCTCACTCATTGTGATGCTGGTAAGTGGGTAACTATCTCTTGAGCCAGGCACTGTCAAAATTTAGCTGCTGACATCCAGCACAGTTGACATAACCAACATTCTGCACATGTTTCATGTCTGTGGCTGAGCTGTTTCTGTTCACTCACTGGTAAGCTGGATAAAACTGTTTGCTGCCTGTATTTATCACTTGTTATCATGGAGTTGATCTAGCTTTGCTCCATTCCAGTCCTCTTTCAGTAGGGACTATCTGATGTTGTCTTCCCAGCAGACCCTGGGTCGTCCTGGAGGTTTGGTTCTTTGCCTCCCATCGCTGCCATGGTGGCCCATTTTCTTCCATTCTGCATGTAAGGTTGGGGATTTGTTTTTTTCTTTTGAGTTGAGGTAAATACCACGATCAAAACACTCAGGTCTTTTTAACATGTGATTCATCCTATCTTCAGCAGCCAGCAGAGAGTTCTGATGCGAATAGTGCCAGTATCAGTTTGATTAAATTGTATGCCAGTCTAGTCTTTCTCTGAGTGTAGAATGTTGGGGAGATCTTCTGGTTACTCTCGCCTTCTCACTAGAAGACATTCAAAGTAATGGTTCTCTTTCTCTATGATGATTAGTCTGTGTGATTGATTATTCTCTCCTCTCACTGGGAGAGTCTGTTTGATTATTCTCTCCTCTCACTGGGAGAGTCTCTAAGCCCGGAGGCCTAGGTGGGTATACACAGAGATGCATTCCCAGCTGGGGGTTCACTTAACTGTGTGGTGTTCTGTGTTCTCTGTCCTCACAGACTTCCACTGTCAGGGTGTGGTGCTGTCACCACAGATCCACATGTCAAAGGTTGGGCAAGGTCAGAGGGTACCTTGTGTGCTTGCTGACTGCCATATACTGGGTATGACCTAAAACAACAAAGATGTGCAGACGTTAAACGTTGTCATGACATTACCTGTAGTGCCACTGTTTGTAGAGTATTATCCTGAGTCTGAGGAATCACGACCGCTTGGCTAGTGCTTTTGCCACGAACTTTGCAGGTTAGGATGTTTATTTTAGCCACCTATGGGGAAAAACATCCTTCACCTTCTCTAGGATTTGAACCCAGATCCACTGCATGAGATCCAAATGTCCTACCTGACCCTGACAGAGGGTCCCAGCATAGGGACAGTGGCTATAGTCACCAACCAGTACGGTCACTGCCAAGAAGGAAAGCAATGGCAAATTGACTGCTTCAAAGTTGCCAAGAAAATCATCAGTAAAGTAAGGAACTCTTTTCCACACCTTTTTAAGCATTTCGGGAATATGGGCTTGTATATACTAGTTGGCACTTGGTGGGTGATTTGGTCATAATCACGCCAGACGTCTTTACTTCCCATGCCTTCACCTAGTACCCAT